GATACACTACATATATATAACTTTAAATACATACATATTATAAATATTAACACCCATGACTGGAGTACAAACATGATTTGATGATGATGATGGAGTACAATGATGATTTACTATGTATAGATCAACTTAACCCTTTAATTTCGGATATGGGATGTGTTTTACACTTATTTTTTTGTATATTCTTAGATGGCGAAAGTGTGTTTATTGAATTATTTATCAGTCTATTACGAAAAATATCGAAGTGATTTTCGGCATAAAATCCTTCTAATCCTGGAAAGTCATAAGGTTTCTTATGGGACATTTGTTTGATGAAAAAATTGCTTTGAGGCGCGCTTGAATGAAGCTATAATAAGATCAAACCACATTTCATTAAATAAAAACTTTAAAATATTTGTTTGTAAATACGTGTATAATATACACGCTAAGTTACGAGGCTTGAGTTATGGATACCAGATAATTGATACATTATACATATATAACTTTTATAAATATAAACACCCATGACTGGAGTACAAATATTCGTGCTCATCACACAAATGAATGCCCCCAGCGGGACTCGAACCCGCGACCGCTGCACAGCAAGTAGGGTCACTACCAACTGAGCCAAACGTGTCATCATAAACAAAAGACAGTCAAAAACAAAAGACAGTTGTTGAATTTTAAATATCTCCATGGTATCATTAATTAACCTATACCTATATGATAGGCTTAGACTCAAACCAATCTAGAAAACAATATTTAATTCAAATTAAAAATATTTCATTCAGCATTAAATTATTGCAATTTTTTACTGAACGTCATGAGTCTACTACCAGTTCGGAAAGAAGAAGCCTCAGACCTGAAAAGAACTGACGAAAGAAACTCAGCGGGACTAATATTATTACTTTATCTTTTTAATTACTTACTTTATCTTTAATATATTGCTAGTTATATTATTTCTATATTCATCTACCGGTGATGAATGAAACACGCTTCAATATAAAGCAGGAAGCAATAAGGCGCCACGTGCTCACACCGTTACGCGAGCAATAAACCTAACCTTTTCCATTGCGATCGGTTAAGGAGTGTACATATATGAGAAAAAAAGTAAAGAAATACTTTATCTTTTTGGAATACTAAGAGCCCTTCCGATCGGAAATTCGCCCTTCCGAGCTTGTGCTGAGCTTGACCTGTATAGATTTTTAATAAGATTTTTCCCGTTCACAATAACGGGGTTGTCCACTAGCGGCTCACCTTGCTTCCCTCGGTTTCGCTCCTGGTTATTTTAACAGTTAGTATGAAAAAGGTAGACTATATATTATAATATATATTCCTATAATGAGTCGTTGTGAGTCGTATTATAACATGTTTTCCAAAATGAATGAAAATGTGTTTTCAAAATTAGCTAATATCATTCTCCAGCCTTCCAACTATCTCTACATAAAAAATCACGCCAATCCGTCACTCTGTTTCGACGTGAAAGACAAACAAACAAAGAAACGAACGAATAAAAGAACGAACAAACAAACGCACTTTAATAAATAATATTAAGTATGGTTTTTAATTAGAATACTCCTCTAGCAACCTACAACACCAATCAAGCCAGACTGCTACCCAACAATTATATGATCGCCAGCGCTATAAAAATGCTTCCATACAAGTAATCTAACAAAATAATACCCAAAACATGTCTTTAATATTTACAAACGTTTAACTAACCCTTAAACTACACTTATCTACTTTACGATCAACGGTAAATTGAAATCGCGATGTAAACTCAGATATATACAGCCACTCGTCTCTTTGCGAATCAAAAAACTAGTCATTGAAATAAACTCGGCATGTTTTTATTAGTGCACATAACAGTGCAAGGGGAAATGAAACCGTATATATAAAATGGTACTGATACACGCAAAGTGAAACAGAAATAAGTAAAATATATTTAACATTTTTTTAGGGTTCCTTAAGAGATGTATAACATCGAAAGTCTTAAACAAAATAATAACCTTAAATCACTCAAAAGGTATATATTTCTACATCGTATTAGAAAATTTACAGCGATTTTATCGATAAAATAGCGACCATTTCCAAACAACCTTGAGATGTAGAAAATAGAAAATTGTGGAAAGGGGTTTAAATATGGAATAAAGTTACATATACAAAGTAATAAGAAACTATGGCCGTTGCAGCAATGTATGATTATTTAAAACTATTTGATTCCAAATAGGAATATGTATGTAATATGTATGTATATGTATATATGTATGTATGTAAGTATCTATGTAAACATGTATGTATGTATCTATGTACGTATGTATATATGTTTGTATATATGTATATTTATATTATAATTGATGTTTGTAGTTTGTACCTACACCGCACCGCATTATTATTTTTATATTTTCTCACGCTTGAGGTTTCTGGTGAGAGGTGGTAGAGATCTCTATCTCTTAAAGAGATAAGTCATCCTTTGTACACATGGTATCTGTTTTAACTTGTATGTTTTTTTCTGGTACATAAATGAATAAAAAAAATCGTGCATTTCATTGTATTCCTTTAAGGTCACTTACTTAACTTTCTGTTTTTTAGAAAATCTGTCAAACAGGTAATCTTTGTAAATGACTATTAAAACAGCTGGTAGCTTCCTAACGGACTGAATACACTGACATTTAATATTAATTTTAAACGTAAAATTGACGATTCAAAAGAGCTTGTAAAAGTCTATTTGAATCATTTTGATTTGATTTGATTTGATTTATTGACAAGACGATGTAATAGATTTTGTTGCTGGTCACAAATGACATCAGGACACCCCAAAGAACCAGCAACAAAATAAAACTAAAAATCGGCTACACCTGGAGACCTGTAGCTGAATTGTGGTAGTCGGCTACAGACTTCCAGGTCTAGCCGATTTTCCTTGCACTGTTCTTCACCAACAAATTAGCAACAAATTCTGATGTTTAGTTCGATCAAGTTCTTACCGATCGCGTCATTTTACTGCAAATTAACATTAAGATAGCAATAACTCTTTTTTGTGAAACTGGATTGGGCTACAATATCGTAATTTAAGCAACTAATTAGCTACTATTTGGCTATAAAATCTCTCGTGTAAATAAATAATAAATATGTTGGGAAATTAACAGACAACACCATCTAGTTCCATGGTAAGTTACGAGGCTTGTGTTATGGATATCTTATAGTTCATGTACTACACATATATAACTTTAAATACATATATGTACATTGTACATATTATAAATATAAACACCCATGACTGCAGTACAAACATTCGTGCTCATCACACAAATGAATGCCCCCAGTGGAACTCGAACCACCGACCGCTGGCACAGCAAGTACTAGAGGGTGCGATAACAACATTAATAAGAAAATACGAATATTATAAACAAAGTTTATTTTAATGAAAATACAACAGTTAGTGTTAGACCGTACTTATAGTTAATAATATAAAAATTGTGTATTTATAAATTATATAAAAAAAACGTTCAAAATAAACCTCACATGACATTAGATGTTTAAAAAAAATCCATATTTAATATTTATTCTATATGTTTTTGCTCAGTTTTAATTGAATACAATATAACATAATAAAAAACTAACATTTACTATCTTTTTTCATAATAATTTTTACAAACCAAAATTTTGATAAATATAATAAAAAAAAGTTGACCGTTACGGTATGCCCGGCAGATTAGAAACATCTATACTAATATTAGAATTGTTAAATAAAAACCTATAACGAAATATGGGGTAAAACAAAGAAAAAATAGTTCCGTTAATAAAATCAATTTATTGTTCTTATTATTTTAATTATAATAATAATTACAGATCATTTATATTCATAAATAGAATTGAAAATATATATTCTTCATATAGACTGTTTTTACAATGGAATGTGTATAGTATACGCTCACACATATAAGGCATGATGGCATCACAGCGTCATGCCGTTTGCCGTCACGGCATACAAGTTTTACTGCCAAAGTCCACCAATAGATGTTTCACATCAAAGATATTATTTTATCTGCTGCATTGATTAGTTAAAATTGAATATCTTATTGACTGATGTTGGAAAAACAAAACTGTCATTAAGTGTATTAACAGCAATATAACAATTCACTAATTAAAAATAAAAAGTACTGCCAAAATAAACAATAAATATTATGAATATTCAATTCAATTTTCTTGTTAATGGCTTCAAAGCGTGCCATATGAAGTATGGATATGACTTTTGTACTAGTTATATAGTTTGTAGTATGTTTAGATTAAAATTAATGTACAATCTATTTTACCGACCAATCTCCTTCGTGACTTCTCCTTACTATGTGACATTGGCGAAGTAATCTATGCTTAACTGACACGCTTTGAAGCCATGAACATGAGAATTTAATTGAACTGAATTGAATTAATATTAGTGACAGCGACTGTCAACTCTTAAGCAGCGAAAATATTTCCTTTTTAATTTTTTTTCCTCAATAACCTTCTAAGTAAAGTGACTGCTAAAACAGTAATATAATCATTATTAAAACATATAATAAAACATTTAAATATTTAACAAATGCACTGAAAATACGTATATAAAATATGTTGTACTTTATTTATTTATCATACTTTGCTATTTTTGTCATAATGACATTTGACACTGACAGGTAATATATATTCTAAATCTATTGTATATAAAATTGCTGCCATAAATAATATTAAAATAAATAGACTATGGTACAATATCTTTCTAATTCATTTTATGAATAAAGAATAAGTAATTAAATATTTGACTGATATGTATTTTTAGTTAAATATTAATATTAAAATTACTAATAACAACAAGATAAAGTATGGTAACTGATTAAAAAAATAACAATCAATAGTTGATGCTTTGACCTATTGGATTAAATCTAAAATCGATTATTCCATATCGAATAATCGATATTTATCTAAGTTTTAAATTCGGTTTATTTTTGGTAAGTCGCTTACACCTTAAGATTAAGATGCACCAACGACTACATCACAGACGCTAATGAAGAGTCTCTTCTTTCATTTAAACCTGAAAAAATATATATATAAAGAGACTAGCAGAACCCACGGCTATGCCCGCGTTCAATCTATAAAAAAACTCTTTGGCTTTATGTTATACATATATACATTTATATAATATTGTTCATACAAAAATACTAAAATATCGATCAAGAAATGGGGGGTGGGGGTAGGACGGTGAAAAATACTATACCTTCGTGCTCATCACACAAATGAATGCCCCCAGCGGGACTCGAATCCACGACCGCTTGCACAGCAAGTAGGGTCACTACAAACGGAGCCGAACGTGTCGTCGTTTTTAGAACCAGATCAGCAGTTTCAGAGATTACCCCTACATACAAATATACGAACTTTACCTCTTTATAATATTTGTGTAGATTAAATTACCTGTAATATACAATTCTATGTCGGGTCCGGAAACGAACTTCGTCGCCATTTGCGGCTCCAGGCTTTCGAACAGTCTTTGATGTTTTGCATCGAAGTTCCATAATAAGAAAGTGTGCTTTTGTTTCTCCAATTCCAATATCATTGTTATTAGGTTCTGAAAGAATTATCTTACTTATTATTACTTTATACAAAACACACACATTACACAAAGTATTGTATAGAGTGTGTACTGTAGATAGATCTAGAATAGTATATTCTAGTACAGATGTTATACAAATAATATACATTTTTGTTTTCTTAATAGGCGATAGATGGCGTGTCTTTCTGTCTGTTAATCGCATCACAGAAAAACCACTGGAGGGATTTTGATGAAATTTAGTATGGTGATAGCTGGTTATCCGTGTCAACATATAAGGATACTTTTTACCTCGAGAAACTATCTCATTTCCGAAGAAATATACAAAAACTGCATTGTAAGAGTATACTGATATGTAAAACCTGAGAATTTGCTTTTTGGTCATCTGAACGCGGGCGGAGCCGCGGGCAATGCTAGTGATATATAATATTATATTCTTTCATTAAATAATATTCTATAAATATATGATTGTAATATGCCTAATATGCGTTATTTTTAGTATCTCACCTATACTAAATATTTAAAACATAAATTGAATTTCATAAAGAGTACCGATAACCTACAGAAGTTTTACTTCTTGCGCGTGTACACATTCATACACGCACTCTTTAATTTTTAATATACTAAGTTGCCTAGAAGCTTAAGACCACTTTAAGGCCTTCCTTACACTGAAATACGTACATACATGTAACTTCTATGGATTCTTTTTTTAGTGTAATAAAAGATTAAATCTGTACATATAATAAAATTCTAACCGAGTCGAATCTGTATATTAAATATTTTTTGGGAAAATCTTATTGAAATATACATTATTATCGAAGCTAAAACTATAGTTTTTAGAATTCTTGTATCTGTCTGTCCGTCTGTGACCGCATCACAATAAAACCACAGGACAGATTTTGATGAAATTCGGTATGATGATAGCTGGTTATCCGGGTCAACATATAGGATACTTTCTACTGCGGTAAAATATCTCATCTCTGAGAAATATATACTAAACATTAAAATATAACTAGGGACGAACCGACGAGCCAGGGTGAGTCGCTAGTAGATTAAATAAATATCATCCTTTCATTATCATCATCCTTTTCGAAATGCGGTTAAATTTAAACAAACAAAATCCCGTCAAACCTCCACAAGACCAATATCAACGCACCGCAAGTACCCGGCGCCCAGAACAACTAAGGTGGTGATACGTACATAGATAATAATATAAATAATATTTAACTTCTATTGATCCTGTTTTTTAGGTGTCAAAAAAGGATTGAATAGATTAAATAAATGCATCTTCCTCTTCAAAAGTCAGTTAAATATTAAACAAACAAAAGCCCGTCAAACCTCTACAACCCCTATGTCAGCGCGCCGCAAGTACCCGGCGTCCAGAACCACCAAGGCGGTGTGTGCGCGGCGCAACGCCAGCGGCACGTATTCCGCGCATGCGTAGCTCAGCACGCCTTGTAGCTGGATAATGGTCACGTCCTGGCTGCCGATCTGTTGTATACATTGTGATGTTAAATATTCGTTTTTATAAACTATATATAAGATTTAAGTGTATATCTATTACAAATATATAATGTACAATATATTACAAATAAATAAAATCGAAGTGTCTGTTTATAAGGTCGAAATAACAGCTTTTTACTGAATGCATATGAAAGTGTTTACTGAATGCATATGTTGTGTTTAAAATTATTTTTTTAATTATTTTCTGTCTGTTTGTTCCAGCTAACGACTAACGGTTCTGAAATGGCTGAATTGATTTTGATAAGACTTTCACTGGTAAATAACTGATGTTATAAGGAGTAATATATGATTATATTTATTTTAGAAAAAGAATCAGGATCCCGCTCAAACATATGCTCAATCCACCAGCACTTGGCCAGCGTGGTGGACTATGGCCTGATCCCCCTCGAACTCAAGGGAGGCCCACCCCCAGCAGTGGGACGTTAAAAAGGGCTGAATACATCTGTATAAATATTATAAATGTGAGTATGTATGGATGTTTGTATGTTGTAGTATGTATAAAAAACGGCTGAACGAATCTGGATGAAATTTGGCACAGACATAGATTATAGTCTGGAATAACACATAGGCTATTTTTATCCCGGAAAAAAATATACGGTTCCCGAAGGTAAGATTTGTTTTTGTTTTTCTAGAGGCGAACCCCAGTGAAGAGAGGATGAGCCGCTAGTACATATATATATATAACCACAAAAGAGCACTGCCCACCTTACACCGGCGAATGCCCAACGGTGGGCGCGCAGCGGCAGTGAGCGCGCGCAGCGCGTCCGCCGCCGCGCCCGCCGCGATGCCGTACTCCAGCCCCACGCCCACTCCCACGCACAGTGTTAACACCCATATTGCTAGTTCCGCTTCTATGATTAGTAAAAACCGTATTTACTAAAAACTTTTATGTAATACGATAGCTGAATCCGCAATTATTTCTTCGAACTGAATGAAGCATGTTTGCGGATTCAACTGTCGACTTCCACCGTCGGGTTCCATTAAAATATAAATAACATAGAACGCTTGTACAAGTTTTTTTTTTAAATCTAATGCATTTGAATTGTAATATACTTATTATCAAAACCAAAAAAACGCTATGTACGCACATAAGAAGTTATACTTCTTTGGTGTAACAGAACGAAAATAGCTAAGAATTTCATCCCGTATGTCACAACTCTCTGTTTGTAAAAGGAATGCAGCTAACTACACCATGTCGCTTTTTGGCTGTCGGTGTGCGCGCACATCGTAAAAACTCTCATAATTTTTTCCTAACGTGCCAAAAGCGCCAAAATTATTTTAATTCAACATTTAAGGACAAAGTTACTTAAAATTACAAAAAGGCTAGATCCCAAATTACAAATATATGCAACGAATACTCACTACTGCTAAGCCATAGCTTTTTCACAATCCCGAACTCTATCAAGGACATCATGGCCACCATGATGATGGCGGCGAGCGTCGCGCGCGGGATGAAGTAGAACGCCTCCGCCAGCAGAGTCACTGCCAACAGCACTATGCCCGCTGGAAACGTTTAATTATGTTATAAATTGAAATTATCTACCAATTAAATATTATAATATTTATAGGACATTTACACTAATATTATAAAGAGGTAAAGTTTGTGCGTTTGTGAGGTTGTAGGTGGTAATCTCTGGATCTACTGAACCGATTTAGATGAAGTTTGGTAAGATAGTTTGAGATCATGGGAAGGACATAGGATACTTTTTATCCCGGAAATTATCCCTTAAGGGGGTGAAAATGGGGATGAAAGTTTATATGGGGAGTCAACCTAGAGCTGAATCGCTAGTTTTAAATAAAACTATCTTTTCGGATTTTTTGCGGATTTATTTTGATATTAAAATGACTAAATTAAATTAAAAAAAATACCGCTTTTCATCAAACATAACTAAGAACACTCCCGACTAATTAACCTTTCAAACAAAAAAAACAAAATCAAAATCGGTTCATCCGTTCGGGAGCTACGATGCCACACACAGACACGTCAAACTTACAACACCCCGTAGTTTTTGCGTCGAGGGTTAAATAAAATTAACAAATATTGTAAGGTACAAGAAACAACTAGAAAAAGAAATAAAACATTTAAACGTCAGGAACCAAAAATCAAAATAAATCCGGGAAGTTCAAAAAGGTACGTTTTATTTAGAACGTAAACACAGCCGTGAGACAAATGCTAGTTATTATGATACATAAAACATTTAAGTAAATAATAATATTAATCCCGCTGAGTTTCTTTCGACAGTTCTTCTCAGGTCTGAGGCTTATTTCCGAACTGGTCTACTACCAGTTCGGAAATAAGCCTCAGACCTCATGACGTTCAGTAAAAAAATGTAATAATTTAACGCTAAATAAAATATTTTGAATTTGGTTAATATAAACATGAAGTACTACAACGCCCCCCCCCCCCTTCCTTCCCTAAGGTGCGTTCACCTTGTCGTGGTGGGGAGGCTCAGTAGTGCCCGGCAATACAGCCGGGCGCGAAGCCAAGAAACGCACAGGGAGGTGGCCCACTTCGGTGGGCGGTGGGAGGTGGCCCACTTCGGAGGGCGGTGTACCATGTGGGTTGCTCCTGGTACTTCTCTGATAGCAGAGTGGACCGTGGAGCAACCCCATGGTTGTAGTGGTCTGCTTCGGCAGACCTGCCGTCGGGGCGTCGTAAAACAATACACTTTACGAGCCGGTGAGTCCCAGATAACCACCTGTATGTCTACAGGTGGTATGCGTAAATGCATTTCCCAAGATTAAAAGAAAACATGAAGTGCATAAAGCGTGTACCTTTGAAGAGGCAGCCGGCGGGTGTGACGACGCCGCTGGCGTGGTTGAGCGCGGTGCGCGTGAAGGAGCCGGCGGCGGGCATGCCCTGCGCCAGCGCCGCCGCCACGCTGCCCGCGCCGATTGCAATCATCTCCTGCGTCGCGTCCACCGTGGACCCGTGCGCTACCGTCAACGTGTTATTGTTGTTGTTTTTTTTTTCTTTTATGATTTTTTTGAGTTTATTTTTTATTTTTTGTACTTGCTTGAAGTTACATAGATAAGTTTTAAATAAACCCGCAAATTATTTACTTGCAGAAAGATGAACTTTTTAGAAATCCTTATATCACAGGCACTTTACTAGGAAAGTTTTAATCTTCATTACTGACAAAAACTACTGAATATTATTAGACAAACCGTCGAGCTTAAGAGTATAAACCTACGTTTATATTAAAAAAAAAACAAACGACGCACGCCTCAAGGTAAACAAAAACAAATCTATCCCACGGGAACCGTACATTTTACCAAATAAAATTAACCTATGTGCTATTCCAGACTATAACCTATCGCTGTGCCAAATTTCATCCAGAATCGTTTAGCCGTTCTAGCATGGGACTTATGTGAAATTCTGTAGTCAAATTATAAAAAATAAGAAATGAACATATGTACGCATATTTGACGGGTGAAAAAAATCAAGTCGATACAAGCGTATGGAGAATTTCTGTATAACTCAATACATAATTGTGATGGATATTTCCATCAAGCGAGCGCGCTTTTAATTTAATTCTTTTTTTGTAAAAACAACTCTAAGCCTTGCATTTAAGATTCAATTTACATTGTTGTATATTTATTTGAACTAAAATAATTACCTAAACACAATTGGCAATTTTAAGAGATCTTTTTCATGAGATTGTGTATCTAGTACTTTTTCGATCGATCCCCATGAAACATAAAATATTGGGTCCAAACCTATAGAAAAGGAGATGAACTTACCGAATGCTTTAGCAATTGCTATGCTTTCCAATATCGCGACGAGCGGCATCGCGAACCCTTCCGGACCGAACACTTGCAACATTTGCCCGAAGTTCAGAGTTTGGTTGTTAACAACCGTTGAAAATGGCGGCAGACCGAATTTTGGGAGACCACCGTGGATTTTACCTAAAATTATTAGATAGTAAAAGTAATCCTGTTTTCTCTGTTTTAATTTTTCTTTTTTTTAATCCCTTTTGCAAAAAGAGGGATGTTATCAGTTTAACATGTGTATCTGTGTGTCTGTCTGTATGTGTGTGTAGCAACGTAGCGCTCAAACGGATGGACCGATTTCAATTTTTTTTATTTGATGACGGCTTCTGAGCAAGCAAAAAGTGAAGAATATAAACTTAGTGATACCCCGACGTATATTATTTCATTAAAAGAGTAATAAGCACTTTGGTTTCTTTCGTTGCCATTAAATGAGACATATTAATGGGAATTGTTTTTGACTTTTTAAGGGTATTTTTACCCCTGACACAAAAACGACGGGGTGTTATAAGTTTGACGTGTCTGTGTGTGCGCGTGCGTGTCTGTGTGTGGCATCGTAGCTCCGGAACGGATGAACCGATTATAATTTTGTTTTCTTTTTTGAAAAACTTTGATGAAAATCGGTCCAAGATCGTCGGGTCTTTTTTTATTTTAATTTGGTATTCTTTTTTAATATATTAAAAATAACAATATAAAATGTTGCGTTTGACCAACTTACAAAAAGAGGAGGTTATATATATTGAAATATGAAAATCATATCAAATTGATAAATCTTCTATATTATTACATTGTCTATAATTTTAATAAAAAAAACAATATATAAACAATATAATATGAACAGAAGTACAGATAGAAAAAAATACACCCCACCTGTAAGAGCAAACGGCGTGATCCCATACAAGTACAAACAGTAAGCCAGAATCAAACCCGCAAACACGACCAGCGCGTTCCGCGCGCGCACCACGTACACCCAGCTCTTGGCGAACATCGCTCTGCTGCGGCTGTCTGAATCTTGTGTGTTTATTGTTGTACGCTTGAAGATGAATTATATATAAATAAATATTAAAAAAATGTGTTTCTGTGCAAATCACACATGGTAGAAATGAAACTTCAGAAAAGTAACCTATGAGAGAATGAGATGAATATAGAGTATCAGGAGTAGGATAATTATAAGGTCTATTTTTTTTTTACCAAGTTTAAAAGTTATTTTACATTTTATTTTTACATTACATATTATTCATTAATTAATTTTATTATTTTTCACGTCTTGTGTAATGTATTCTATCTTAAATAATGAAATAAGGCATATTAGACATATTACAATCATATATTTATAGAATATCATAAACGGAAATCATATAATATTATATATTTGTCATACAATAACAACGGTTACCATGGCAACATGGTAATGTATTCTATCTCATTCTCTCACCGGCTTAATCTTAAATATTTATGTATTTGTCTATTTCTCGTGCCGCATTTTCGTATATCGGGTTTCAAATCATAACGATTGAAAAACTGGGAAAATAATGAAATTTTAATTTTTCATATTTAAAAAAAATCTTCTTTGGTAGAACTTCGTTTTATGAAAAAAGAAAACTTCCCAACAATTCATCAAAATTGAAATGGTTCTATTGATCCAAAGAATTCTAACCATTGGACAATATGACATGGATAACCCAAATGGCAAATACAAAAGTTTAGAAAAGCACTCCAGCGAAGCGTTATAATAAGTTAATAAGTTGTTAGTCTACACTAATATTATAAAGAGGAAAGATTTGGATTTTTATATATTTTTAACGAATAAACTCAAAAATTACTGCACCTATTTAGATGAAATTTGGTAAGAAGATATTATGAGACCCTGGAAAGGACATAGGATATTTTTATTGCAGAAAGCATCCCTTAAGGGGGTGAAAATGGGGATGAAAGTTTGTATTGGGAATCAACCCGGGTGTACGAGTGTGAGCCTCTAGTAATTATATAAACTAAGAAAGAAACATACCTTTAGTAACAATAGAGATACAATAGTAAAAACTCCAAGCAACGTGTCCCATAGTTGAACGGTTTTTATGTTTTCGAAGAAACTTATCAATGATTTTATAAATGTCCCACCAGATGAGCCTGTAAAAAAGCAAACAAATAGGTAATATCTAAAACACTGTTAGCTAACACTTAGTGTAAAAACTGCTGAAAAATGTAAACTAATTACGCAAATAGATAATAAATTATTTTTTAAATCCGATTAAAAAAATTATATAGAGGGAGTTCGCCAAAATCCATGACTAAGTCAAAAATAGTAGAGTGATTTGCTGTTTGTGCTACTATTCTCAATTTTGCCATACATATCGTTTTCTTTCTTTAAAGAATAAGAGAAACTATGTATGTAGGTAGTAGTTAAATTAATACGCAATTTTTAGGGTTCCATACCCAAAGGGTAAAACGGGACCCTATTACTAAGACTCCGCTGTCCGTCTGTCTGTCATCAGGCTGTATCTCATGAACCGTGATAGTTAGACAGTTGAAATTTTCACATATGATGTAATTCTGTTGCCGCTATAACAAGAAATACTAATATATAAAATATAAAACAAAAAACAGAATAAAATAAATATTTAAAAACGTGATTTTTTTTGCTTGTTTTTGCTCGATATTGATAACGGCAACAGGTAGACGCTTGAAATATTCAGAATATTTGTTACATATTTACTTTAAAAATGAATAATTAAATTAAAATAAATCAAATATTTAGAGGGGGCTCCCACACAACAAACGTGATTTTTGCCGTTTTTATAGATAATGGTAAGGAACCCTTCGTGCGCGACTAAGACTCGCACTCGGTCGGGTTTTTTTTGTATAATAAAATATGAATGATAAAAAAATACTAAATTCTTATGAATCACTTAGGACCAAGCTTTTTAGTTAATAACAAATTATAATCAAGTTGGCAATATCTGCGGAGAATACAATTTTATCGCAAATACAAGCACAATAAGAAAACTATTTTAACTACAAATGAAAAAAAGCATTAAATCAAATACATATATTATTGAATAATATAAAGAAAATAAAGGATCTAAAATAATTTTCAGACTAAATCACATGAAAAACGTACATACCAGTCACTCTGAACAAAGACTTTAGCTGTGAAGCTCCTATTTGTAGCGCAGCGGCCGTCGTGAAACCACTTATTACCGGTTTCGATATAAAATCCAGCAAGAAACCTGTAAAAAACAGTAGAGTAACATTTCATCATTTTATTTTTGAGATATTTTATGAGATATTTTCCCGCAGTAAAAAGTATCCTATATATTGACCCAGATAACCAGCTATCATCATACCACATTTCATCAAAATCCGTCCAGTGGCTTTTTAGTGATGCGTTCCCAGACAGACAAACAAAAAATCAGAAAACTATAGATTCGGCCTCTGTATCGATAATAATATAAATAACTATTTCAATAAGATTCGACTCAGAATTTTCTTATATGTATAGATACCTACATATGTGGGATTTGCAAGATGAGTATGCGTGAAATGATATTTTATGAATAAAAGAAGTCGTATGCTAGAATTTCAAGAATGGAATGGAATAAAAAATATGAATAAAAGAAAAGAAGAATGTTGTGTCATAATGGCGACACGACCGTTCGCGTGAACATTGTTATCTATAATTTTTAATATAATAAATAGTCGGTGAGTTATCAAGTGCTTTAAGAATGCAAATAGCATTTTCTAATCCTACATATATGTAGACAAGCTAGATAGTTTTATAAAGCAGATTTTTTTTACTCAGTACTTACCCAATTGAAGTATTCCCAGTAACAAAATAAGAAATCCCGATAGGAAAGCAGCGAGATACGCGAAATCTGGCGACTGTGCGACATATTTAGCTAAAAGGGCTGCTAATATGGCCGTAGGGCCAACTGTTACATCCTTACAGCTTCCGAAGAAAGCGTACACTATGCCTGGGAATATACTTGAGTATAATCCTACCTGAAAATAGGTAATGCAGTTATTTAATAATTAGTTGTCCTTATTTTAGGCTAAATAATAGCTCTAACTAGCTTCCTTTTCCAAAATCAAATATCTTGCTTCTTTTATTAAGGAACTAGCGACTCACCCTCGCTTCGCTCGGGTTCTTCCCTAGGTTTATTCCCCATACAAACTTTCATCCCCATTTTCACCCCCTTAAGGGATGATTTCCGAGATAAAAAGTCACATCACAAACTCACAAACTTTACCTCTTTATAATATTAGTATAGATAATGAAATATTACTTCAGGATATGAAGTAAAAGGTATCCTAAATATTGACCGTATAACAAATCACAACACAAAATTTAGTTAAAATCCATTAATTTTGTGTGAAATCCAAACAGATTAACAGACAAACATTTCAACAACTATTAATTTGAGGTCTATATTCTGTACATAATATGTAACAGTCATTGATTTTAAAAAGTATTTCATGTATAGATTATCCTACTAATCCTACTAATATTATACATGCGAAATTTCGTGAGGATGTATGGATGTATAGATGTATGGATGTTTATTACTCTTTAACGCTAAAACTACTGAATGGATTTTAATGAAACTTTACAATAATATAACTCATACATTGGAATAGCACATAGGCTACATTTTATCCCGGAAAAATGTACAGTTCCCGTGAGATAGATTTCTTTTGTTTTTCTAAAGTCGAACCCGAGCGAAGCGAGGGTGAGCCGATAATACCTATATAATAATAATATTCTTTATTATACACCAAACAGAAAATACATACAAACAGTAAATAAAAATAAACAAAGATGCAAAGCAGAAGGCCTGATCGCTTAAAGCGATCTCTTCCAATAAACCAACTACCAAGTAAAGGAGAGTGCGAGAGAAACGGTATAGTAGGTTAGGTAGGGGTTAGGTACTTGCTATACTGTATATACCTATATATTTTTTTAAGGATAATGTATTTGTAATATGACATAATAATTTAAGAACGAATATGATAAGCTCTTCTAAAATCCGCTTTCTAATGTTTTCGATTATGTAACTAGTAATATTTATGCTAATTCCACTGTAGGACTTTCACAAACGAAATCGACTCCGGAACCCGTCTTCGTCCGTCGATAAACCCCGTAACACAACGAGAAACCGTACAGACAATCTTATAGTTCTGACTGATGCTAGCCAAGCACCAGTGTTCACGTATTTATAATTTCCGCCTATTATTTTTTATTATTTATTTTATTATTTTATTCGTATTTTATTATTTATTTTTTTGTTATTTATACGTATTGTTCTCAGCAAACCCTTTCATTTGATATCATGGGGGTGCATAAAAAAATAGTCGGCCATCATTGGGAGTCCGCCATGTTGTATTTAGAATTACGTCACTTATCAAACCATGTACCTATTGTCATCTAACCAATCAATCGCTTGAGGTTAACTGCTTTAAAATTCAGTTACATGATTTGACCCGAACAAACATTCATATAAACATTGCAAGTTAAATAAAAACTTGTAAAAATACGGACAATGTTCGTACGTTTCTATGAAAAAAAATGTATTATCCCTATAAGTTTCGAGTTTATCGTCTATTGTTTCTTGTTTATGATTAAAATGTAACTTTATTAATACCTAAGTACTTAGCACTCCACGTGTCGTATGTCTAAAAGTGGGTCAAATTATACCCAATTGGAGTGGAAAATGTTTATTTGATATCAATAACGAACGTATATCTATGTTTGTATATATCTTATATTTTATTTTATAATAATTAATGTTGAAAAATTTAAATGATCATATCACGCAGGGGAATAGCAATTTTAATGCCAGAGATCGTGAGTTCGAATCTTATACGATGTTAGAGTTCATACAGTAGATATATCGATATCATTTTAGTAGGGTTTGCCCTATTCAAACATTTCAATTAGCCCTATTCAAGCAGGTAAAGATATTTAACAAAAAGATGCTCAAGTAAACCTTGTTTTATAAAAAAAAAGTTTATAACTCTTTTTTAAGATCGTTTATAAATTATAGCGATATGAGGGAGGAAGCATTTCACAGATATAAAATGTTTAGTAATCAAATAAATAATAATTATATATTTTACTAGTGACTCACCCTCGTTCCGCTCGGGTTTGTCCCTACTTACGTATTAACGTTTAGTATAGATTTCTCAGAGATATTTTCCCTCATTAAAAAGTATCCTATATGTTGACCCGGATGTCCACTGGTTTTCTCGCGATACGTTCACAGACAGACAGACAAAAATTTTAAAAACTATAGATTCGGCCTCTGTATCGATAATGTCTATTTCAATAAAATGTTATGATGTACAGATTCGGCTTCGTTACAATTTTATTACATGTACATATAGATGGGGTATTTCAAAAATGATGTTGTCTCACCTGGGGCGGCAAGCCAGCTAACATAGCGTAGGCTATGCCTTGCGGGATAGACGTCAAACCCACTGTTATACCTGAAACGCAAATATATACAATTTAATCATATTTAATCATCCTTGTATGTTTTTAATTACATTCATACATATAAGTACAAATACCGAGACTTAGACTTACCGAGATTTAACTAAGTCATAAACTATGTAATCACATAATGGAGTTCGTTAAACCCATATCTAATATATTTCCTTCTTGTTTTATATAATTTTTAATAATAAAATTAAACGTATAATTACTAAATAAATTAATTTAATTACTTATTAAATAATCTTACTAATATTATAAATGTGAAAGTTTTTAAGGATGCTTGGATGTTTGTAACACAATCACGCCAAAACGTCTGAACGGATCTGGATGAAATTTGTCACAGAGATAAATCATAGGCAAAAAAAACTTCATTGGGTTTAATTTATTATTTATAGATTTTTGTGTGACTTTTACTAAAAAATGAAAGTAAGCAAAGTGCTTTGACTTATATTAACATTATTACGTACCTAAAGATATTAATTAACTATTTGTATCTAAAAATAGCATATTTACAAAAACTGTATAGATAATAGATATAAAGCCAGAACAATACTAAGGCGAATCACTATTTAGAAATATAAATGTAGAGCATACATTTATATAAGCGCTATATGTAAGCTATATGTAAGCGCTTTAGAGAAAAAAAAAAGGAAAAAACTTCTATAAGTTGGGTTACCTTTTAAAAAAAATACAAAGAAATGGCCATGCATTTGAAAATGAACAACATTTAATCCGTTCGTAATTTTACGACGCTACAATGACTAGATAATGATAAAGTGTTAACTGTTATCTATATACATTACATGTATGATGTTTGTGAACTGACTACCGTTGAAAAATTCTAAGCCAAGACCTTTTCACAAGCACCCAAACCTAGCCGACTTAAGAGGACTCAAATTAGTTGAAAAAATAGTGAAAAGCTAAGAAAAATTAAAGAGCTGAACGAGGCCAAATTTTTGATTATCAAACCACAGAACGAAGTCACGTGTCACATACGCGCTAGAACCATTTAATATTCAAAATATACTAGAGCGAAAGCAAAAATTGAAATTTCATTATCTACTTTACATATCAATTATACTTTAAAAAACTTAAATCGCCACTCTTATTATTATTCGCTTCGCTTATTTTTATAACTTTATTACACATATGTACATATTATATTGAAATTTAAAATCGAAATAGTGCTAGGTCGATTTTAACGAGACTTTCACTGGTAAATAACTGATGTTATAAGGAGTATATAACTTAATTTGAAGTTATACTTTATATGACACGTTTGGAAAAAGATATGAGAGTAAAATTTTTACGATGCGCGCGCACACCGACAGCCAAAAAGCAACATGATAAAGTTAGCTGAAAGCGACATTATGAAGTTAGCTGATAACTGCCTCTGCGGTTCCCATGAAAACTCCTAGTTAGGATTCAAAGTAGTTTCTCAAATATTCATAAATCTTACGTGTTTTATATCAGTGGAGATAAAAAATATATTTATTTTTATTAATTTATCAATTATTTACAAACAGCGAGTTGTGACATATGGGATTGAATCTTTAGCTATTTTTGTTCTGTTACACCAAAAAAGTATAACTTCTTACGTGCGTACATAAGTATCAATAAAAAACTTTTGGAAACAGATAGTTCTTTTTTTATATAGATAGGTAAATTCTATTCATAAATACATGTTTCCTCAAATTTTCAAGAAATGCTCAAATTTCGACATGATTTAATTTATACAGCTAATATTAATACAAAGCAGACACCACCATCATATACTCTTACAATATCTAACATACCCGCAATCGCATCCCTCAGTAGATAATCTAGTGAATATTTTGGCAACCAAATTGTGATCGGCAACCGCCGCTTCCACGATTCTAAGTTACAAAGCCTATTGGCTGCATCACGCCATCTATTAGTGGGTCGGCAACCTGAAAACAACATTAACATTAAAAAAATACGAAAATAATAAAAATGTATAACAATGTAAGTATTTTTGTATACATCCACTTCGCATAGCACTGGCAGTTTTGAATTTGTTATAAATAAATCTATACAATCAATAACTGGCAAGTGTCCCATCAATTGCACCAATTTATGCCAACAGTCTAATTTACTGTACCATATTTCTTTTATGTAAGATTATTAAACAAAATTATTTCAATTCAACACAATTTACCAAGTGATCCAGTCATTTTTTGCGATCTTTCACATATTCTTATTAAAAAACATAAAACGTGACACTCTGTCGCCGGTCTGTAATATAATGTGAAATGTGAATGTAGTGTTACTACTACATGAAGAGCGCTTATGAAGAAAGATAGCACAGTGCAAGGGCAAGCGATGCGAAATTTAATATCGTGACATTTTTTTGAGATATGAATGAATTACTTAAAACGAAATGTAAATAAAGCAGTCTATACTAATATTATAAAGAGGTAAAGTTTGTGAGTTTGTGAGATTGTCAGTTTGTGAGTTTGTGAAGCACTTAATCGAGAAATCATACGCCAAAATGTCTTACATCATTTTGGAAAAGAGCTGATACTCTTACACGGCTGGACCGATATTAACCAAACATAGCTAAGAACTACCGCAAGGGAACTGGCTTTCAAATGAAAAAAAAACCGCATCGAAATCAGTCCATCCGTTTGAGAGCTACGATGCCACAGACAGACATCGACGTCAAACTTATAACACCCCTCTTTTTGCATCAGGGGTTAAAAATTCTTCAAACATCAAACAGTAGATAGAATAAAAATTTTAAATGACTCTGGCAGATTGCTTTGCAGATGTTTACCTAATTCCAATCCATTACAAAATAAAACTTTAAATGAAATTAAAAATTTCATGCAGTGAGAATTTCTTTACAGAAAAACCCAATAACCATACGTGGGAATCCTTTGTCTATATAAAAAAAAACTAAAAGTTTAGTATTTCATTTCATCATCTGCTTACATTTTTACCGCTAGGGATTATTTATGCGAGACATTATATGTATTTAATGTAGCTTGGTTACAAATCCTACAATATACCTAGTTATGGTTACACCTCGTCCATCCGCTCTAGATTAAGAATAAGACTTAGAATAAGAGAGACGCAAACTCAGCGTCTGGTCGGCCCACCCGGCATCCGCCGGCCGAGTATGTATTCAGATATTAAAGAAGCCTCAAATCGGCTACATGTCTCACATTTAGTTTTATTTTTTTTCTCAAATTAATTTTAAGTTAGTATAAATAGTTTTCGAAACGCTCCGAAACCAAAAGTACCTACTAATAGGCAATGGTTACATATTTGATAATATTAATTCACTATATCATGAATACTACCACATATTTCTTGTTAATTGTTATAAACATTCCACATTAAAAATTGGATGACTGTTGTTTAAGCTTTATAACTGAATAGACAAAAAATGTTGATTAATATTGAAACTTATCTAATGTTGATTGATGTTTTTAATAAAATTTTATGATTAAATTTTACTGAAAACAGAAAAAAAAATTGGTGAAATTTTTTTGTAACCATTTGTAACCTGGATAAAAAATCTCATGCAATGCAACTGCTTGCACTGAATCCATCTAAAAATACTTAATAAAAACTTTTTACCTAATGGCTAACTTTTCAAATATGTTTTAGTGATATTATAAAATTAGAGAAACTTAACATAATAAATTATCATGTCATTTTTATTATCGTACCAGCGGCTCACCCTCCTTTCGCTCCGGTTTACCTCTAGACCCTCTATAGTGAACCTGCAGCCCGCATGCATGTGGCAGCATCAAAAATCGCATTATAACATATCTTTGTAAAAAAAGTAACTACATCGTTAACTTGGAATTACGTTTTCATTAAGAACTAAATAATTTTTGTCTGCGGCCCTCGATACCGTGACTGAAACGTGTTTGTGGCTCCTATAAAAAAAAGGTTGAGTATGGCTGCCCTAGACAATCAAAAACAAATCTATCCCACGGGAACCGTACATTTCTACGGGATAAAAAGTAGCCTATCTGTTATTCTGATGTATGAATTAGATTATTGTAAAGTTTCGTAAAAATCCAATCAACAGTTTTTGTATACTAAGCTGTATAAGTTACCATAGTTTTTTAAGTATTCCACGGGAACTTTTTAATTTTCCGGGATGAAAAGTATCTAAGATGTTGACCGGGGATATAAGGTACCACCATGCAAAATTTCATTTAAATTGGTCCACAGTTTCGGAGATTAGCCCATACAAACAGATAAACAGACAAACAGACCGAGAAACAAAAAAATTGAAAATTTTTTGATTTGTTCTATTTCTCTTTTTACATCCCCCTGACTTGGTTTTTAGCATTTTTTTTTCTATGTACAGATATTCGACCTCCACAATTTTATTATATGTATAGATTATAATTTTAGTATTAGAGGATTTTTTAAATGAGATGTACATTTTAAGATTTACATTTTTCTTTTACTTATTTATTTGTATTTTGGAAAATTTAATTGAGAACTTATTAATTAATTTTCCTTTGCTTAGTCCCCTAACTTAGCATGCATAACATGCATAAAATTGCATTTTATTTATTAAAAATATGTATATTTCAAGACATACTTTTTTTCTTTTAATAATTTTTATAATAATATTTCTCATTTGAGATCAAAGTCAATACTTTTACCTAAATACTTACATAGGATTAGTTGTATATAACTATACCAACTATAAAATTGGAAGTTAATATAGTATAGCATTAAAGTACAACACTAGCTTTAAAAGACAAAGGCTCTCGTAGTATACAATAAAGATAGATAGACACATAGAGATAAGTGTGGCATTATCCATTTAATACAACTAAAGTAAAGATTTATGATAATGAATTGTAAATTTTTATATTAGACTTAACATTTCATGATCTACAAATAAAATTCAGTTAATTTTTTTTTTAATATTACACTTAATCAAACAAAATATTGATGTCAATGATATGTCTTTGCATTTATAATATGTTTAGATTTATGTTATAAAACTATATGTATTTTCTCTTTTTGCCTTCTGAGTCCGTACTAGATTCCTGACAGACATACATTGACGATTCAAAGCGCTTGTAAATGACTATATAAATAAAGTATATTTTGATTTGATTTGTTTCATTATAATTTTTCTTAACTCAACTAAAATTATGTAGAAACATTAAAAAATAAATAAATATAACAATTTCATCAAAATTATTTTCCAGGCTTCATTTTGACTATAGTGTTTCATTCATGCTTAAAGCGAACTATTTCTGCTCCACAATATGTCCCTTTTGAGTACTTTACAATAAAAATTGGAGTAAGAGGGACAAGATTTAATGTATATATTAGAAATCTTTGCTGTCAATATATACATATTCTTGATGAAAGTTATGTGAATGCTTATTTCCAATAAGCACTTCTTAGGAATTAAATTTTCTTAGTCCATTCCATTCCATCTTATATTGTTCTGTTCTCAAGATATAAAATTCATTCCAAATTTTAACAAGTTATAATTCAACAATAAAGATTAATAATGATTAAGTTGCGTTTGTTTAATTTCAATTTTTTTCTGTGTAATCAAGTCATACCAACTTTAAATATAATTTATGGCATTTAAATATCCCCTTTGATTACCTACTAATTTGTTTAAAATATTTTTGTTGCTATTATCATTATTATAAATAAAATGAAAAGTTTTTTAATCATTTAAAACAATCGTGCAGATTATTTACTATAAGAAAATGATGTTTTGTTAATGCTTAGAAAATAAGAAAATTAAAGTTGACACATATTTACATGAAAAATTCATTAATTATAAGTTCAATAATTGAACTTAATTACTTAACAATATCTAGTTGATAACAATTGTTTATTTTATTGTTAAATAATATGTAAATTTAAAAGAAATATCATTTATAAAACAATTTAAATAGGTATTTTACGAATATAACATACCCAATAGTGGTTGCCTCGGATCATCAATATCCATTGTACTGACACGTATTCATTATGATAAGCTTTGATCTATTGTATAGTATTATATTATCATGATATTAAATTCTTTGTTCTGTGGCTTATATGCGTGCCATTTGAGCAATTCTTTGTTTATTTATTTTTTGCTATCGAGTTCAATTGACATTACAAGTATATGACACTGTCACTTACTGTCGATTTGACTTTGACATATTTTTGAGTCTTTAGTCTATGTTGATTATAGATAAATAAGAAGAAAATACGTAATAATATTGTAATAGATATTGAAAATATTATACAAAACAGCTGATATTTTCTAAAGAATGTGCACTGATAGATTACAAATCTTGATAATAACAGCAATACTTATTCTATTTATTTGTAATAAAATTTTCTTCATGCTTTTTGCGCGAAGTACAATTTTTGAATTGAAACTTCTTTCGAATCGTTGTAATTTGAAACTCGATGAAACGAAAATGCGACAGTAAAAAGAGACAAACATAAATATATAGGACTAAGCGGGCGAGAGAATGAGATAGAATACATTGCCATGTTGCCATGGTAACCGTTGTTATTGTCTGACAAATATATAATATTATATTCTTTCCGTTTATGTTATTCTATAAATATATGATTGTAATATGCCTATTATACCTTATTTAAATATTTTTAAACTAAACTATATTGCGTCTGATGTTAAAACTCTTTAAAATTCGCACGTGTACATTTATCAATATATCACAATTATTTGTTTACGTAATAGTAATAAAGTAATTCGTTCGTCTATCAAGCTTATGTCGAAATCAAGCGTTGTAAATAGCGTCATAATTCACAGGTCTACCCTACTTAACTTTGACATACATATTTATATTGTGATATCCCAATCAATAGAATTCAATACAGATTTACAATAATTTCGCTATCATTTTAATAATTTTTAACTCTCCCGTATTTAATTGCTTAGTGCTCCGTAGCCAAAAGGCAAAAACGGAACACTTTTAATTTCGCCATGTCCATATCTGCCCGTAAGTCATAATATTTTATTTAAAGATTATTGAAGATATTTATTTCAAAAATTAAATTAATGAATATATAAAAAAATGATATTGATAATATAATATTCCATATTAGTATGTATGTAATTTTTTTGTAGATGGGTAAATGATAAATATCTTTTACCTTACTTTTGCTACGGAACCCTTGTTGTTCGGGTCAGATTTAGACTTTTTAAAATATACCTATTTACAACAATAGACTCTTGCGTTATTTATGTAAACACCTACCTAGTAAGGAGGAATAATATTTCTACCAAAAAAATGATATCTTTACAGCAGTTCACTGTCAGAAATAGGAAGTGTGTTTTTAGGATTCCGTAGCCTATGTATAATCAGCTAATAAACTATCTATAAAGCAGAGAGAGCTATGCATAGTAGAAACAATTTTCATTTGATAAACTAACAATTAATTAAAATTTGTTTTCATAATATAAAAACTATTATCACTAAACGTCTGCATTAACAAGTTAGAATAACCTTTTCATCTCTATATAGTATATTTGTTAACGATAGCTAAATAGGGCGGCACGGGGCTCAAACTGCCACAGATAACCTTACACTCAGTTCTATGCGGATCGAGTCAGTTCTGCTTCTCGATTATACAATTTCTCTAAATACTTTATCAGTAACGCATCTCTTCACAACAAGATTTATTGGATTGGAAGTAGACATAATATATTAAATATAAAATGTTATTTTAAAAGAAAATCGACAAGACTATGTTATGTATATGTTATTTATCATTTATCTTAAAAACTATTAACTTTATCAAGATCGTTAAAGAGAGCAATGTTATTAATAATTAAATTGTCTACAATTTGTTTTTAACAAAAAAAACTGGAATGAATTTTACAAAAGTTATTTAAGCATGAATTAAAATACTACCTATATAGGGCAATTTGAAGAGGATCGCATAAAAAAACTGAGATGGAATAGTTTTCGGTACTCATACGCCGATTCCTCCTGGACTATTAGATAAAAGATAAAAATATTCATGAAATGAAACTATTAGGTTGCATACATTTAGTTTATCATTTATTTTTCATGTCACTTCAGTACTTCGTATGAAACGTTATAAGCGCTACAATTAATAAATCAAGAGGTTTACTCTATACACACCATAAAAATAATACTTCTATGGTGTGTATAGAGTAAACCTCTTGAGCTACACAATAAGTATTTTGAAGTGTACTCAAATTTTAAGTAAAACTATTTTTTTTAATCATGGTCACGAGAATTTATTGTGCATGGTTATTGCTGTACCTAATGTAACTAACCCTCTTTTTAACCCCCGACGCCAAAGAAGGCGTGTTATAAGTTTGACGTCGATGTCTGTCTGTGTGTGTGTGTGTGTGTGTGTGTGTGTGTGTGTGTGTGTGTGTGTCTGTCTGTGGCATCATAGCTTTCAAACGGATGGACCGATTTCGATGTGGTTTTTTTCATTTGAAAGCCAGTTTCCTTGCGGTGGTTCTTAACTATGTTTGGTTAATATCGGTCCAGCAGTGTAAGAGTATCAGCTGTTTGCCAAAATGATGTAAGGCATTTTGGCGTATTATTACTTGATTAAGTGCTTCACGCGTACTAGTGTAATCGTTAAATGACAATTAACTTGCGTAGGGGTTTTTTAAAATTTTTAATTTATAATTATTGTGTCAGCGGTTAAAAACCCCCAACATATGTTTTAATTAAACTATTTTTCGGATTTGTTCGCGATGAGACATCTAAAACCTTAGTCTGTCCCGTGACCATGATTGCTGTAAAGCATTCAAAACGTCGGAAATCAAAAATCTTTTTTTTTATGGGACTAAGGGGGCAAACGGGTAGGAGGCTCACCTGAAGAAGTGATCACCGCCGTCCATGGACATCTGCAACACCGCAGGGCTTGCAGATGCGTTGCCGGCCTTTAAGGAATGAATACGCTCTCTTCTTGAAAGTAGCCAGGTCGTAGCGGTTCGGAAAGACCGCCGGCGATAGCTGGTTCCACAGAGTGGTTGTGCGGGGCAGAAAATGCCTTAAAAATCGCACTGTTCTGGAACGCTGGACATCGAGGTGGTGTGGATGGTATTTAATAAAAAATCAAATCCGCGAAAATCAAAATAAATCCGCGAAAAATCCCGATAAGATAGTTCTATTTAAAATGTCAAATATTCGCGTAAATCTAAGAGAGTATTAGGTACCTACTCAAATTTTTAGTTTTCGTTAGAATTCTGCCAGAAATTTCTAGAAACCATAACTGGCAAAACTAACTACATATTTGTACATTCATGCATTATGTATATTTTACCTAATAATTAAAAACTTTTACCTAATTATAAAAAAACTTCAATCCAACTTACCCAAGTCACTGCTAAAAGAACCAGTGCGTATTCAGTGCTGCAATTTTAAATACAACTGTTTGTTTTTTAAATATACGAGTAATATCTATTATTATTTATTTGTTATAAGTAGTTTTTTTAAACTTATGGCTTAATCATGACCTACGTTCTATTTTACGGACAAATAACGTCACAACTCACAAGTTATTTCATCATTTCAGTAGATACCAACCTAATAAGTATATTTTATGTAGACCACACAAGAGTGATGAACTAAAAAAAAAAACAAAATTATCAAAAGAGGTTTATAATAGATTAATTACATAATAAGCGATATTTACCGTCAAGTCGAGCAAAAAAGACACAGCCATCCTTTTCTCGACATCCAGGACATTTTCGACCCTGTAACTTCGTTGTGGATTAAGCTAGAAGCTTGAATTTTCAGTGATTAAGAGGACATAATATAACGAGGTATATTATCAAATTACATTCAATTTGGACCTGTATTACCTCTATTCGAGTAATTATTGCAAGTCAAAGTTCTTTAATTTCGTCACTCATTCGTCACTCACTCACTCACTCACTCACCATCAAAACTCTAAGCCCTAAGGTATTTCTAGCAGACATACAAGCATAAAATTTTGTAAACAAATAGAACATGAGCACGGGAGATACCATTTATTTAAAAACACAATATTAGATATACACAGATAGATTATCTCAATCTCACATAACAAAACTAAGCATTACTTTGTAAATAAAAGTAATGACGTCCCTATCAGAATGTGTCGGCCAGACACTATGTTATGATTGGTATGATGCCAACCATTAGTACCTACTTATTATTATGATAAAAGTGAGACCGATGAGATTTCCCATCGGCAATAATAACAGAAAATGGAACGTAAAACATATATGATTCTAACTCAAAAATTAACTCATTTTTTAAGATTTTTTGTTTGGTGGGTCCTACATAACCACCTGTCTGTTGTATTCAGGTGGTACGCTAAAAGCATTTTCCAGCATTAAAAAAAAAGAGTGACGCGCGGGCAAGTATAAGAATTGTTAATTAAGCATTATTAACATTTCAACCCTTTGACTTGGTCAAAAAGTATTTCACATTTGACCCCGTTCCTATTTTGTGATACATATATGTATAGATAAAAGCATGTCTTAAATTTTTTATGATATTATGGTATTAGAAATGAATGAAGAATCAGTATATTTTAGAAAATATAAACTTGATATCCACATGTAAGCTTCTATATAAATTGCGTCAGATACCTGATGTCTAAAACATTCGTATTATTATGTGAAAAGAATGCACACTCAGCATGCGCCCGCGCCGTAGCCGCAGTGGTATATTATATAACAAATTTTTATTTTTTACTATTTATTATAAGCATTTGTCTATTAAGTATACAATATTGATACTATAATTAATGCCAATACGTGTATTCCTATATATGTATATGAAAGATATACCGAATTTATTACTTAAATCTTTACATACCTATTAATATTATTTATTTTTCTTCTATCTTTACATAATATATGTAATTATAAATATATCAAAATCCTTATTGAGGCATTTTTTTAATACATAACCTTTTCAGAAGACAATCAAGAGTCATTGCTTAGCACTAAATCACCGTAGAAAAGTGCGGTCTTTACATGATAGTAGTACTCAATACATGTGGTGTTGTAGTCGATGCGCGACAGATCCCGTAGAACCCCATTGCAGTGCGGTGATAGCATTCCGCTGAGAGTTTTAATGAGAAAGTCTCACAGTCCCCAATTACATGAAAAAAAAGATAAGGTAGTTAAGTCAAGTTCAATTCTAGGAGCTCGAAATAAAATAATAACAAAATGTATGTGGAAAAACATTAAGCAAGCAAACATAAGACAGGTGGTATTTATTAGGAAATGATTCACGCAATAAAAAATATCAGAGGCACAACACCCGGGATATAAACCTGCTTCGCTCGGTTTCTCAAGTGAGTGCGTTACCATTGGGCTTAGTGCCTCAAAGAAGTGCAATTTATTAATTTGCGTATCGCAAACAGACGATTGTTACCCCCGATCTAACTTCGACAAAAGCTTAAATGTTAATATTCGTAAACTGAACATAATAAAAGACGCGGGAAGTCACAGGAAATAGCTAGTCTATATAAATTATGACTTTATAAAGATGTATATAAAAAATATAAATAATAAAATTAGTGTAACCTTCTGTAAGTTCTATGAATCAATCACACATTCTAAACTGCATTTCTTGGCGTTGCTCTCATGGCACGTGATGGCGTAAGGCGCGTATCTGTTGCATCATTGTTTTCACTAGGTATGTAAAGAAATTTCATAAGAAGTTACGGGAATCGCATAATAAAAAAAATATTATAATTTAATCAATATAGGTACATATAATAAAATTGTAACAAAGACGAATCTGTACATTAAATATTTTTTTGAAAATCTTATTGAAATAAACATTATTATCGATACAGAGGCCGAATCTATAGTTTTTAGAATTTTCGTCTGTCTGTCTGTCTGTTACCGCATCACAGAAAAACCATTGGAGGGATTTTGATGAAATTTGGTATAGTGATAGCTGGTTTTCCGAGTCAACATAGGTATAGGATACTTTTTACCGAGGAAAAATATCTCATTTCTAAGAAAAAATACAAAAACTGCATTGTAAGAGTACACTAATATGTAAAACCTAAGAATTTGCTTTTCGGTCATCTGAACGCGGGCGGAGCCGAGGGCAGTGCTAGTTTAATCAATAAAACTTTGTACTAAGCGCGGCTAATGTTGGTTAAATAAATACACAAAAGTTCTAAAAACTAACTTTAATAATATTTATGAAGGATGGTTTTTAAAATATCAGAATGACTTTAATTAAAAATAAATTACATTACATAGTTGCAAAACATTATCTTTAATTATTTTTGAAGTCGGTTTTTTTTATTTTGTTAATAAGTTTATGGTCAATTTTTTTCCTATAGACAAGTACCTATCTACACTTATAGTGAATATTTTCATATTATCTATACATGTATAAGTAGTGAGTTGATTTTAAACCATAAGTAACTAGCCGTAAGCTGTCTCGCAAGACGCTAATCTAGTGTCGTCATATAGCGGGTGGCATTTATTTACAAATAACTTCTTACGCAACAACACTCTTTATTGCTTAGAGTTTAGACTATATACCTATGCAATTTACCTAAGATTCGAATTGGATTATTATTATAGAGAAGTTGATGATATTTTCAGGCAATCTTCAGATTAGTCAAGCAAGTGATCCTGTGAAGTTTGATAGCGATCAGAAGTTCGAACGCGGGCAAAGCCGCGGGTAATTCTAGTACACAGGTAAACTATGATTGGGAGACACATGGCTACTGCTTGGCACCTAGGGATGTACCCGGGCAAATAAAAACATTTATTGAATTAATTTTATAAAAAAAAACATATTTTATTGATTTTTTGTAAATAAATAACGGTTTGCCAGTTTATTTTTTACGCGCATATTATAAAAAATCAGATCAACTAATTGACCTACATAATTATGTGATATAGTATCTACTTAAAAAGATTTTTGACCTACTTAAAAATATGAATGGATGCTGATTTTAAAAAAAAGTTACTTTTAACTGAAATGGTACACCTAACGACAAAACACCGACCAATAGGTAGGTATATGTAAATAGGTCAGGTTAGCCGTTAGATCATCCTTAGAGGTAGATTTTTTCTAGAACTTCATATGAGACCACATTATTCAATTTAAAAAAAAACATAATTATCGATACGTAAATTAAAAAAAAAACATAAACTCGAGTATTTCCTTCTTTTGAAGTTAATCAAAACGTATAGGTATAGGTATTCTTTATTTATATGACTTACATTATTATTGACTAGCGGCTCACCCTCGCTTCGCTCGGATTCGTCTCTGTAAAAACAAAAACACATCTATCCCACGGGAACCATACGTTTTTCCGGGATATTATTCTGATGTATGAGCTATATTATTGTAGTTTCATTGAAATCCATTAAGTAGTTTTTGCGTAAAAGAGTAACAAACATCCATACATCTATACATCCAGATATCCATACGTGCTCACAAACTTTTGCATTTATAACATATGTGGGTAAGATTTAAGCAGTTCTATGAAGTTATATTTATTTAATTTTATTTCATATCTTATCTTTCACAACTATTAAAATATTACAAAAACATTTGTTTATATTTAGGAGATAATATGCGAAATTATTTATTGATTCTTTTTGTTTTTATTTATATAGGTAAAGCTACACTATCTATCCCTAAGCGTCATATGTTCTTATTCGACGCACCGTAAAATTAGTTAGGGATATCTATATACCTACGTATACTAATCTTATCGAAATAAACATTACTTATTATCGATACAGAGGCCGAATTTATAGTTTTTAGAATTTTCTTGTCTGTCTGTTTGTCTGTGACCGTATCACGGAAAAACCACTGGAGGGATTTTTATGAAATTTGGTACAATGATCGCTGGTTATCCTGGTCAACACATAGGATACTTTTACTGTGGGAAAATATCTTATCTTTGAGAATTCTATACTAAACGTTAAAACGTAAGTAACCCGAGCGGAGCGAGGGTGAGTCGCTAGTTTTATAATATAATTAAATATTATCATATTTATAATTACTTCAATTAAAATGTATGTGTCGAGCTCACAGACAAAGATGATTCAAAATAAATAAGTAAATCAATGTATTATTACTTGTTCTTTATCGATTTCTGCCCGTGAACCATTCACAGCAACAATGAACTTAAGGTAAATAATTGAATAAAAAGAAAATTATAATACTGTCTTAGATTTACGCGAATATTTGACATTTTAAATAAAACTATTTTTTTGCATTTTTTTCGCGGATTTATTTTGATTTTGAGACATCTAAAACCTTAGTCTCTCCCGTGACCATGTTTGCTATAAAGCATTCGAAACGTCGGGAACCAAGAATCAAAATAGATCCGCAAAAATCCGAAAATATATTTTTATTTAAAAAGAAAATTGTTTTCTTCTAAGTTTGAAAAAACTTATCTACATAGATAAATCAAATTGAAGTGTCTGTTTGTAATGTCAAAATAAGAGCTTTTTACTAAATGCATATGAAAGTACCTATACATAGTACATATAACAAAAGCAAAATTTTTAAAATTTTTGTCTGTCTGTCTGCTTGTTCCGGCTAATTTCCGAAACGGCTGGACCGATTTTAACGGTACTTTCACTGGAGATAGCTGATGATATAAAAAGTAACTTCGGGTACCTTTATTTTAGAAAAAGAATTAGACTTTGCTCAAAAAAATTAAAACGGTCTAGGGATGCACCCGAGCGAAGCGAGTGTAAGTCGACAGTAATAATATATGATAAGTAATTTAAAAATGTAAACATCAAACATTTTATTCTGTATGTATTTATTACATACGGGGAATTTATTTAAAATTAGTAGTATAAGTATAGCGTGCTAAAGATGTAAACAAAGTCACATGTACAGTACAAAGCTTTTTAGACATAACTATATTTTCGAATTTTTTCGCGGTTTAATTTGAGTTTTCATTTCTCGACGGTATATTCCCAAAAAAATCCTAAAAGATGTATTTATTTTAAAAGACTTCATAAAAAAGGGTAACTTGTTCTCCATTACATTTTTTGCACAGGTAAGTTACGCGATATCGCTTTACCAAATCGATTTTTTTTAATTAATAAGCATAAACATACATACGTCTAACCATAGGTTCCGTATAAATTAAAATTAAATTCACTTCTATGTGTTCGTCAACAGTTTTAATTGATTTTGTGTAAATAGTGACCTTTATTGTTAAAAATTAATAGCCTAATAATCAAGTACATGTAAGCCTTTTAATTATATTTACTGACATGTAACATAGTAGAAAACATCGTGTTGAAAATTAGTTAGCTTAAACAACTTAACTGTAGACTGGACAAAAATTAAAAAGAAAAAGATGAAAAATCACTTTCCTATGGATGAAACTTTAAATTTTATTATACAGTAATAAAATGTATCGGAAAAGCGAACATAAAAAGACGCAGGCGCAGTCCGCACGATCATTCACTATCAAGACGTCACTCCATACTCATTGATCAGTTCGCTAGATCCAATAAGAAGGAAGTTGTTATAGGAAATAAGTGCTGTGCAGTGTTTTATACTCATTTTGTGTGGGAAAATGATTAAAAGTAAGTATTTGATTATTAAAATGATTAAATTTAATATTTACATAAGTAATATATGTATGTATGTTTTGGACATAGATATTTTTAGTATATATTTATTAGCCAAGAAAATAAGTTTTTATATAATTTATCTGTATTAAATCTTATAATATTAAATGAGCAATTGTTGTTTACACATTTTATTTCGCGTATCTCAGAAACGACTCTAACGATTTGGATCAAATTTTGTATTTAGATAATGCTTTCTTTAAGTTTATCTATACAAAGTGACTTTTCTGAAAAAACAAGATTTTACAAAAAATTACGAGCGATATTCGGTCGCTCATGTGCTAAAAATTTAAATATTAAAATTTGATATCAGTTGTCAGTACATACATTTAAATATTAATACATTATAAAATTGCTTAAAAATTCTTATTGATATCAGTTATCATAAAATAAGTATTTGTGCATGCCACTTTAAAATAATAAAATGGTGTAAATTTAATGCACGTTTTAACGTTTTTTTTATTTATTTGTTTTTATTGCACTGATTATTATTATTTTTTATTTTCATTTTATAAGACTGGAATGAAACTGGTGCGGTGCTATCAAAATATAAATGCAATTTTCACATTAAATTATAAGTTTCATATTTAATATGTATTGCATTTTTTTATTCAGCCAAGCTAGCCGATGCCTTCAACATAGATTTTTTTTTTTTTTTAGTTTCTTTTTTTTTAATATTTTTTTTAATTATTTTATCTTAATTTTTGCTGACCTACATAGAATATTAATATTACGCGCTCTTATAAACAATGGATAAAGTTATGTACTGACTACAGATTGAAAATACAAATATAGTAGATAATTAGATATAAAACATTATTAACATTATTGTCTACAATGTACATACATAATTATATCGTCCGCATTCTAAACGGGGAAAACGTCCGGATACGTCAAAGATCATACTGTGCATTGATAGCGACTACTGATGACAACATAGATAGGTAGCTGTTTAGATATATCTAGAACTTTATGGATATTAATGATAATTTTAATATATATATATATAATCTACTGCCGTTCGTTAGTCTCGCTAAAATTCAGAATAGCTGGACCGATTTGAATAATTCTTTTTTTTTGTTTTGTTGGGGGGTGTGTCAGGGGTGGTTTAAGAATAGGAAAAAGGGGAAACCCCATAGGAACTGCTGGATAATCGAAAAGTTCAAAACTATTTATTTTGTATGGGAATCACTACTTCGGATTACTTTCAATAGATGGCGTTAGTGACGGAACTATCGTCAGCAATGTGTCAAGTTTATGTTGAAAAAAATTATAAGTATATACAATTTATAGTCTATCTATCCCATACTAACCGTTAAAACGTACCTAGGAATGTACCCGAGCGAAGCGAGGGTGATTCGCTAGTTTTATATAAGTACTTCTTCATTTATTTATTTATTTTTTCATACAAAAACTTGAAGTACCAATGAAATAAATTATTTGGCTTCTTGATGACCAAAAATGAGTATAGCCAAAAAATATAAAAAAAACTGAGTGTTTTATGTTTCGGGCCTAATAAACTTGTAGGCTTTTATAAAATTATTAATTTCAACATAATAAACATAAAGTTGACTAACGTTTGTTCGTGGGTCCACTTTAAAATATAAAATAAATATTTCTGTTAGTATAAGTAGATATTTAACTAAAAAAAGGCAAAATTACAAGATTAGTTAACTGAAAAAACGTTTTTATTTGGCTTCAAGTTAAGTTGCGCCCACTGGCCCACTTAAGCTCGCGTTATTGCATATAATATGATTAAATTGCAATCGATAATATTATCATTTGTTTATGAATTCTCTGAACCCTTATCGTGTAGTATTTCTCTAAACGTCTTCAATACTGTCGGATAATTTAATTACAAATTATAATGCTATATGCAGTGGATATATTGAATTCTGGAACAATTACGAATTTAATATTGCTTATTAATATGCGTCGATGAACCTCCACAATATTTTATGCGAGAAAATAAATCCGCGAAATAATCCGAAAAGATAGTTTTATTTAAAATGTCAAATTCCCGGTCTGTCTCGTTGGTATAGTTGCTAATATACGGTTGCAGATCTGATCAGGTCCTGAGTCATAAAGTCAAAAAAATCAAAACGTACCTAGGGATGAACGCGAGCGAGGCGAGGGTGAGTCGCTAGTACCGTATATAAGTAATACTTCCTTAGGAGTTTCACTTTGGGTCAAAAACAACCGTAAAGAGTTACGGATAGATGAGCCAAAGTGTGATATAGACTTCTTTTTATCCTGCTACATAAAGATGATTCTCAAATCCCAAAGAGAATCTTAAAATTGCAACCCATTAGTAAAAGAAACCCGGGTGTAAACGGGTCGGCAAAACGAGGCCTAAAAGGCCAATCTAGTAATCATCTATATAATAAAATTCTGAGTTGAATCTGTACGTTAAACATTTTTTGGAAAATCTTATTGAAATAGTCATTATTTACAAACTATTATTAAAAACACCGAATCTATAGTTTTTAGAATGTTTGTCTGTCTATCTGTCTGTCTGTCTGACTAGGAACGCATCACGAGAAGACCACTTGACATAAATGCATTTAAATGAAATTTGGTATTATGATGATGGTTATCCGGGTCAACATATAGGATACTTTTTACAATGGGAAAATATCTCATCTCTGAGAAATCTATAGTAAACGTTAAAACGTAAATATAGGTACATAGGGTCAATAATAAAATGTTTACTTCAGTAAAATAACAAACAAAATTATCGTAAGGAAAATTAGATACACATATGCCTTCAATGATCTATGACCTCATTACGCAAATATTCTAACGCTCTGTTTATCGGATGTGTACTTATTAATAAATAGTAATGCCCAATTGAGAGTGCATTTAATTTTTCCGACGGAAATATGACGGAAAATTCCGACGGAAATAACATTGATTATTATAAGATATTTTAAAACAAAAAAAATATAATACACTACACATATATAACTTTGAATACGTACATATTATAATATGTTGGGACATTAACACACAGCACCATCTAGTTCCATGGTAAGCTACGAGGCTTGTGTTATGGATACCAGATAGTTGAATCACTACATATTATAAATATAAACATAATATATAAATATTATAAATATTCAATCCATGACTGGAGTACATATATTCGTGCTCATCACACAAATGTATGCTCCCAGCGGGAATCGAAGCCGCGACTGCTGGCATAGCAAGTAGGGTGGGTCACTACAAACTGAACAAAACGTGACGTCAACTTAAACTTGATAGTCGATATACTTTGTTAACCCTGACATTTTAAGAGCTAATATTATCTATTATAAAGATTTTTAACAATAATTATAATTTTATCTTAATATATAAAATTCCCGTGTGACGATGTTGGTTCGCGATGAAGTCCTAAACTACTTATTCGATCTTAATGTTTTTTTAATGTGTGATTATTTCCAACTTAAAAGATAGAAGGTATAGTTTTTAGCCCGATTATTTCCTTTTTTTTATTGAAAAATTATCGATTTTCATATCCGGAGAGAGATTCCGGAGAGAGAACCTAAGGAATGGCTACTCTAAGCTACAAATTCTACATCCAAGTTAAAGAAAAAAAAATGTTATGACTATGCTATTTATTATAATATAAAATACATATCATAATTATTCTATTCAGCCCTTCTTAACGTCCCACTGCTGGGCACGGGCGTTCCGTAAATACTAGGGGGACCAGACCATAGCCCACCACGCTGGTTAAGTGCGTGTTGGCGGACTTCACATATCTTTCAAAAACTTCTTAGACATGCAGGTTTCCTCCCGATGTTTTCCTTCTTGAACATAAACGACATCTCATCAAGATCAATATCGTATAACATTTCCTATACCACCTCGAGAATACATTAAATCAGTTGAAAAACTGCATCGGGCACGATCTATCCGTTTAGAAACTATGATGCCACAAACAAACAGATGTCAAACTTAGAAAACTTATTTTACTTTGGTTAGAAAAGAGGTGTAGTTAAAGGTTTCTATGAGGTTTTATGCAAGAGGGTAAAATGAGGATATGGCAAGTTTTTTTTATATCAATTTTTGCGTAGCTTTTTAAAGTGACGTATTATGTTACTATGTTTTAAAACGTCAATCCATATACATACATATAGCAACATATCTATGATAGTGGCTACTTAGTTGCTTATCAATTATCACTTTTATTTAAGAATATGTACAGATTATATAACTTCATTAAGAATCTGCATTGACCCACGCGAGGCCCAACTATTATGATTTACGATAGGGAGTACGTTGACTTCTAAGTTTGGACCTATTTAATTTTCTCTCTAATCTAATCATGTGCATTCGGTCAATAGCCTGTGTGCATCTGTATCTACCTAAAATAGGCAATGATAGCCCAGTGGTAACGAGCTCGCTTGGGAAACCGAGTGAAGCGGGTTCAAATCCGAGGTTTCGCATCTCTGATATTTTAATATGCGAATCATTTTCAACATGATTACCACTTTCCTTGAAGGAAAACATCGTGAGGAAACCTGCATGTCTAACATGTTTTCGAAAGAGACGTGATGTCCGCCAACCCGCACTTGGCCACCTTGGTGGACTATGGCCTGGCCCCCTCTCGTATTGAAGGAAGGCCCAAGCCCAGTAGGAGGACGTTAAAAAGGGATGAACACATTGTAAATAATAGCGTACTAGCAGAATCCAGAACTTGCAAAAGTTTGACTTACAAAATATCACATTTTTTATATTAAGTATTTGTATTATTAACAAAAATACTGTCCTTGCTAAGTGACGTCACTTAGCACAATTCGTTCAAATCATTCAAAATACATTCGATTACATATAAAAAAGTAGCTTAATTTAATTATCATTACAATTTATAAATTAAGTAATTGAAATTATGAATTAATTATTGTAATAACTTCGAATCTTTCGAACATACATAGATGTATTTATCTATTCTATTTACAAATACAAACTTCTATAACTATTTTTATAAAAAAAAATCGGCTATATTACTATCGGCTAACCCTCGCTTACCTATGTGTTACACCAAGTCCCAGGTTATAGTTATCTATCCCCCCCAATGTGCGTACACCTTGACGTGATGGTCTGCTTCGGCAGACCTGCAGTCGAGGCTTCGTGGTTGAGTGCGTAATCGATCCTGCGAGGCCCCATCAAGACAGGGGAGGCTCCGTTGGGTTTAAGTGGGTAGTGCTGTCCCACATAACCACCTGTATGTATGTAGGTGTTATGCCTAAATGCATTTCCCAACGTTAATAAAAAAGGTCATAGTCCATCTATATACTATGTTTCGTTCAAATCGTTTTAGCTTGCAGATGTGACAGACATACAAACATTCGTATTAATAGTAGTAGTTGAATTAATTTTTCGATTTGATTTCCAGATATGCATGTATGCGTAGTCGGTGCAGGTGCTGCAGGTCTGTGCGCGGCTCGACATCTTCTAGCAGAGCCATGTGTGTCAGATGTGGACATTCTAGAACAGTCTTCTCAATTGGGCGGGACCTGGGTGTATACTGAAAATGTTGGCTACGATGACTTCGGGCTCCCTATACATACTAGCATGTATAAGAGTTTGAGGTAAGAACTACATACTGTACCAATGCTTTAGTACATTATCTTACTTACAACACAGTTTTAGAATAATATGCAATCAGTCAGTTACACAAATATTTAAATTTATAAGTTTAGAGATTAAATTCTCAGCAATTTAAATGTAAGGATGTCAAAGAGCAAGACTGATGGCTGGACTACACCATCTTACCTCTGAAAGCTCGTAATGTTTTTAGAGGCAAGAGGGTGTAGATCCACATTAGTGAGTACCCCTACAGAAGTAAAGGTTCATAAAACCACTCCACTGAGCTACTCTTCTACATGAAGCATGACAGCTTACCGACGAGTTTACGTACGCGTTTTCCGGTTGACAAAACCGATTTTTTCCGGCGAGACTGTCGAGAATGAACTGTCAGATCAAACGCGGCCCGCTCAAAAAAAATCGCTTTAACAGAAATACCCAAACAATACTCAGGATTTAAAATCTTTTAGGTCTCGAGCGTTACAATGTAATACAAGTAGTAGCCATACAAGATAAGATATTAATTTAAATAATAATGTCAATTTAGTTTATCTTAATTTAACCTATAGGTAACCTACTCGTATAACGGATTACTGGTATATGTTGCACGTGCTAAGTACATTCCTGAAATCATGTGGCTGGTGGTTAAGTGATTGATGATCATTTAATATAACATCGAACGAATGTTTTTATTACATTGATAACAACTTTAATTTAACACTTTATTGGCTCTAATGGTTCGATGTTGGCTTATATAAAGTTACAACTCGTCAGGCGCTTCGTTGCGTTTGCATCTAACTAAAATTTATATCCATACTTCTATACTAATATTGTAAATGTGAAAGTGTTTTCGTTCGTTCAATCGTTCGTTCGTTCTTTTTTTTTGTTTGTTTGTTCTTCTTTCACGTCGAAACAAATTGTCGTATTGGCGTGATTTGACGGGAAAACACTACACTCTATTTTGTACTATCTACTATATCTATTCGGTACTAACCATTAATAACTGCTTCATTGATCTAATGGTTAGCATTTACGGCTGTAGATACGAAGGTGCTGGGATCAAATCCCAGGTCGAGCAAAATACCTACATATATAGTTATGGGTTTTTTCTCTAAAGAAAGCAATAGCATTCTGGAATTCGGTATTTGACAGTATTTCACCCTTGAACTTAGGAGAACCCAAGTTTGTCAGACCTGTGCCCTGATCTCTCACCGATCAGTCAGCATATAAGATCTACAAACACAGGCTTTATTTCCGTCTTTTCGTCTTAGAATTATTTAGACTTAGTTTTAAATTGAAAATAATGTAAAAATCGTATGTATACAATACTATTATTATAAAGAGGTAAAGTTTGTGATCTTGTGGGTTTGTGAGTTTGTGGGTTTGTGAGTTTGTGACGTTGTAGGGGGTAATCTCTGGATCTACTGAACCGAGTTTCAAAATTCTTTTACCAATAGAAAGCCACGTTCTTTCTGAGTGTCATAGGCTATATATTAACCCGAAAAATGAAAAGGCTTTTTCGTGGTAGTCGGATTTGCAAAGTAAGTCGGAGAAAAAACGGTCGAACGAAAACGTTTCTTACGAACGCTGCCTTAACGATGAGAGATATATGATTATGTTCTAGAGAAAAGTTGTAGAGCTTAATAATGCCTACAAAAAAGTCAGCGACAGCATATGTCTAACTTTTATATTTAATTCACAAAAAGTAGTTTTTTATATTAAAAAAATAATTTAAATCGGTACGTCATGTTTATTGGTCATATTATCAACAATTATGAATTCTTATTAAAATAAGTAAATTTATCGTCTAAAATGTTTAAAATAAAAGACTTTTCCCTTTTACTGCATATAATTTGGACAAATGGTTAAAGAGATAATACAACATATTCGTATGTATGGACGAACCCGAGCGAGCTGTTTATCTGTTTTTCTCTTTGTACGGGCTAATCTCCGGATCTATTGGACCTATTTAAATGAAATTTTGCATGGTGGTAACCTTATATCCCCGGACAACATCTTAGATACTTTTCATCCCGGAAAATTAAAGAGTTCCCGTGGGATAGTTAAAAACTATAACAACTTATACAGCTTAGTACACAAAAACTACTGATTGGATTTTAATGAAACTTTACAATAATATAGTTCATACATGACAAAAACAAATCAGCTACTTTTCATCCCAGAAAATTAAATAGTTTCCGTGGGATAGTCAAAAAACTATAGTAACTTATACAGCTTAGTACGCAAAATAACTGATTGGATTTTGATGAAACTTTACAATAATATAGTTCATACATCAGAATAACAAATAGGTAACTTTTTATCCCGGAAAATTGTACTTTTCCCGTGGGATAGATGTTTTTGTTTATTTGTAACGTATTATGTACACAACATAGACCCCAAAACAATAGTTATTAAAAAAATTCCTAATTGTCTGTTTGCCTGTATGTCTGTTTGTCTGTTTTTGTGTGTGCGTTTCACGCGAAAAGTAATGTACTAATTTCAACGAAATTTGGTGAAGTGATAACTTATTACTCGAGTTAACATTTAGGGTACCTTTTGTATGTATGTATGTATGTATGTTGTATTCAGCCCTTTTTAACACATGCACGGGCCTCCCTTCAGTACGAGGTGGATCAGGCCATAGTCCACCACGCTGCCCAAGTGCGGGTTGGTGGACTTCACATGTCTTTCGAAAACTTGCTAGGTTATGTCAGACATGCAGGTTTTCCTTCACCGTTACGACAAGTGGTAACTGTGTTAGAAATGATTCGCATATGAAAATATCACTTTCCCAAGTGAGCGCGTTACCACTGGGATACCACTGCCTAGATACCTTTTACTTAAAGAAAATCTTTCTTTCCCACGGGAAAATACAATAACTGGTTTTATCGAGTCCTCCCTAGAAACCTTCCTCTGACTAAGCCTTAAGACATACATCAAGACAATATACTAAAAAATTGTAGGTCTTGAAAAGTCCTACAGAAAAGTTGTGAATAGTATATGTCTATCTTCTAAGTTACACTCGCAATATTTATTCTTATCTATACCTATAATAAAACTTAGTCAAATCGATGTGCGCGTTTCACGCAAAAAGTACTCAACCAATTTTAACTTAATTTTGTAGTCATAAAACTTAGTGCTCGGGTCAACATTTAGAATACTCTTTACGACAGGCAAATTAGTAATTCCCACGGGAAAATACAATAACTGGTTCTATCGAATTGTCCTTAGAAATTTATTGGCTAACGTTGGCTCAACCTTAAGAGATAGATCAAAACATTGTACAAGAAAATTGTAAGTCTTAAAAAGGTCTATAGAAAAGTTCTACATAGTATATGTCTATCTCCTAAGGTACACTCGCTATAACTATTTTCATTATTATATATTTCTGTTTTATTATACGTTATTTATTCTATCTGAATATAGGTACATATATGAATAATAAAACTGTAGAGGTCGAATGTCTGTACATAGATGGTAGAAAAAATTGCTAAAAAACGAGTCAGTTCTCTTCTTACATCCCGTAAGGAGAGAAATAGAACAAATCCAGATTTTTTCAATTTTTTTGTTTCTCTGTCTGTTTGTCTGTTCGTACGGGCTAATCTCCGATACTATTGAACCTATTTAAATGAAATTTGATACTTTTCATTCCGGAAAATTAAAGAGTTCCCGTGGGATAGTTAAAAAATTATAGTAACTTATACAGCTCAGTACACAACAACTTATGCACCTAATTTAGTAAAATTTGGCATGCTGATACCTATACCTTATAATGCAGCTCAAACAACAGGTTACTTATTTTATTTTATTTATTTTATTTTTATCCCTAAAAAATGAACGGTTCCCGTGGGAAAGATCTTTTTGTGCTTCTCTAGAGGTGAACCCGAGCGAAGCGAGGGTGAGCCGCTAGTATTTTATATGTATACATTGTATATATGTATAGTACTACCGACTCACCCTCACTTCGCTCGGGTTCGTCCCTAGGTTGCTTCCCCATATAAACTTTGATCCCTATTTTCAACCCCTTAAGGAATGATTTCCGGGATAAAAACTATTCTATGTCCTTCCCAGGGTCTGAAGCTATCTTCTTACCACATTTCAGCTAAATCGGTTCAGTAGTTTCGGAACTTATTCGGTACAAACAAACAAACAAAAAAATCTTTCCTCTTTATAATATTATTACTATAGACTGCTTTTCTTCATGTGTCCTGAATACTTAATTAAGTTTATACAATATACATGTCGTTTAAAAAATTATCACTGTGTTAGAAATTGCACTTCGATCTTTGCATAAAGATAACATAATATAATTAACACAATATTTCAATATCTTAATAAATGAGTAAAATTATAATAAGCAGTTTACTTTATGTTTATTCTATTTGTGGAATTAAATATATACTATATAACCTTTTTAAGTTGCAACATTAATAAAACTTTTATTAAGTTAAAGTTTTTAAGCTTCTCTTTCTCAGATCTCTTCCATCCTTCCTCGATCCCGATCCTTCTCTTTTCGGTTCCTCCATCGTCCCAACATCGGAGTCCCATCCGTGACCGTGATTGCTGTAAAGCATTCAAAACGTCGGAAATAAAAAACCAAAACTGAAAAATCCTAAAAGAAGTTTTAAGTTTGGTTATTAACCACTCAACTTAAGAGTATTGCTACTGGGTAGCAACGTAACGTTATCATTTGTGAAACACTCGTCCCATATACATAATTTATTATATATTATTATATCTATACATATAATAAAATTATAATAAAGCCAAATCTGTACATTAAATATTTTACACCAATATCAACTATATGAAGTAGATAAAATACCTTATAATATTCATTGGAAATTACCAAAAATGATATAAAATCTAATATACATATAAATATCTCGTATCACGGTATTTGTGGTCGCATTTCTCCGAAACGGCTCGACCATTTGGTAAGTATGAGAATAGTTCGTAAAGTATTTTTCACCATCCTACCCCCCATTTTATTATCGCGATTTTAGTATTTTTGTATAAACAATAATATTATAAGAATACATAGCGACGAACCCGAGCGAAGCGAGGCTGAGTCGCTGTATAACTCAAAGCCAAAAAGTTTTTTTAAAATTGAACGCGGGCCTAGCCGCGGGTTCCTAGTATAATATATGTTTCTCCTTAAAACTTACTTATTGTTTATTTTTTTCAGAACGAATCTCCCGAAGGAAATAATGGGCTTTCCAGATTTCCCTATTCCAGAAAGCGAAAAGTCTTATATACCTGCTAAAGATATGCTCTCGTTCTTGCAACTTTACTCCGACAAGCATGGCATTACGGAACACATAAAAGTAAGTCATTCAACTTAAATACGTTGGGACATTAACACACAGCACCATCTAGTTCCATGGTAAGCTACGAGGCTTGTGTTATGGATACCAGATAGTTGATACACTACACATATATAACTTTAAATACATACATATTATAAATATAAACACCCATGACTGGAGTACAAACATTCGTCATCACACAAATGAATGCCCCCCGCGGGACTCGAACTCGCGACCGCTGGCATAGAGAGTAGGGTCACTACAAACTGAGCCAAGCGTGTCGTCTAACTAACTTAGAACTCTTACTTAGTACTCCCAAGAACATAATTATATTCTTTGTCTGAGTGAAGCGGATTCAAATATCGAGTTTCGCAACTTTGATATTTTCATGTGCGAGTCATTTCTAACGTGATCACCACTTGCCTTACGGTGAAGGAAAACATCGTGAGATACAGTCCCCTAACCCTTATTTAGCATCGTGAACTATGTCCTCATCCTCATCGTAATAGAGGTCCGGGCCTAGCAGTGGGACTTTAAAAAGTGCTGAATACTATGATAAAAATATTTGCTACTACTTACTCTCGATTCACGTCCCAATCGACAACCGTTGCAGCATGAACGAGTATCAATCGTTCTTTCTCGACCTGATGTAAATATGTTTTTCCATTAAAACATAATTTTCCATTAAACTGTTCCTTGACATAAAACTATCAGAAAAGATCAAATGCAGAATGTTGTTTGTCTCTTTACTGTTTGTTTTGCAATCACAATAACTTATCGATCACGGATGCTATCTATAGTTATTTCTAAATATTATTTAGTATGACTGTAATAATAAGCTGTTTTTTTATAAACTACAATTTTTTTAATAAAATTATAATAGCAAAGTAGATTTCAATTAAATAACTTATACCTACATATATTTTTAAACGATAACTTTAGGTTATCTGAATTACATTACAAATTTACTACGTAATTACATCCGATTTATTTACAATATCAAAAGACTTTTCCATCCCCAATAACTTTTTCAGTTCAAACACCATGTTCAACTTATAATACCTAAACAAGGTGCCACTCGGGAGCTATGGGATGTAACATGGAAAGACCTAACGTCAGGAGTCTCTACAACTAAGGAGTACGACTATGTGTTCGTGTGTAATGGACATTACAATACGCCTTTCATACCAAGTATACCTGGACTAAAAGAGTTCAAAGGTTAGTTTAATTTTAATGTTTATGAAAATTTTAATACACAAGGAATTGACAAAATAGCTCGAAAATAGGCTGAAAAAGGGATCATCCTGTAGTGAGAAAACGTGTGCGAGAAATTTGCTTTCATAAAGAAATGTATAAATAATAATTAAACGGCACTTTATTTATTTAATTGAATGTATGCACTTGACCCCAAATAGGTACCGCATACAAACTCATTCTCGCATATCCCATCGTTATAACTTTTTAAGCCAGAATGCTAATATCTTTATATATTCATTAAATATCACCTTGGCGAAATAAATTATATCAACTGGCACAAATGCTTGATAACAGCCATCATCAAGAAATTGAATTGTATTACTTTCTTACAGGAGACGTGATGCACAGCCATGACTATAGAGTACCATCGATTTTCACCAACAAACGCGTTCTGGTCGTCGGAGCTGGACCTTCGGGTATGGATATCGCTTTGGAGATCACCGGTGTCACCAAGAGCGTCATCCTGAGTCATCATTTGAAAGAACAAGTCAAATCTGTATTCCCTGATAATCTGGTAGAAAAACCTGATGTAGTAAAATTGGATGGTCACACTGCTTTCTTCAAAGATGGGAGTCAAGAAGATGTAGATGTAGTTTTTCTTTGTACTGGTAGGTTATATTTCCTCTAATAAAGTCTTCGGAATCTTTACTAATTAAAAAGTTAAGACGAATACAAAACTTATTAGTTTGTCATTATTTTACTATTAAGCACAGTACTCGTATATATCTAGGGGATTTCTATAAGATCCTTTATAATATATAGCAAAAATAGTTAGTATTTTGTAAACTGATGCAGATTATTCAATTCAATTCTCTTGTTAATGGCTTCAAAAAGTAGATAATTTTTTCTTCAGTCAAGAAATTTTTCTTAGCATTGAATTGGAAAACGTTTTTAAACTTTAATTCGAAGTATATGTATATTTTACTTAGACCATAAATTTTATTCCTAGGTTACCTCTACAATTTCCCGTTCCTACACGAATCATGCGACATCGTGGTAGAAGATAACTGCGTAGAGCCGCTGTATAAGCATCTTGTGAACATTAAACACCCCTCAATGTGTTTTATTGGCGTACCGTATTATGTGTGCGCGTTTTCCATGTTCGATTTGCAGGTGAATATCTAATATTTTTAAATAACACTATTATGTTAATGCGAAATGAATCTATCGAAAACATAACTTAATCTTTCAAAAATTACGATTCTGTACTATAAAGATACATGCAAGATTTTTTGATAGATGACAACTATTAAGACTAAATTAATATATTAAATTTAAACGTATTCTAACAGGTACGTTTCTACGTACGTTCTATGAACGGTACATTCAAACTGCCATCGTCAGAAGAAATGATAGAGCACTGGGAAGAAGAAAAACGCGACCGCGCAGCGCGCGGCTACACCAAGAGGCAGGCGCATATGATGGGACCTGATCAGGTAAGCTATATAAATCTGTAATTATTTGTTTAAGTTAGAACTTGTGCCTTGCCCCGGCGTTGCTTCTGTGCATTTGTTATTATGGCCACATTTTTGCCATTTTTGGCAAGATGACGGATAGGTTGGTAAAGACATCTAATTTTATATGTTTTGTTAGAACATCAATGTTTTTGACGACACGTTTGGCTCAGTTTGTAGTGACCCTACTCGCTGTGCCAGCGGTCGCGGGTTCGAATCCCGCTGTGGACATCACTTGTGTGATGAGCACGAATGTTTGTACTCCAGTCATGGGTGTTTATATTTATAATGTGTATGCATTTAAAGTTATATATGTGTAGTGTATCAACTATCTGGTATCCATAACACAAGCGTCGTAGCTTACCATGGAACTAGATGGTGCTGTGTGTTAATGTCCTAACAAATTTATTTATTATTTATAGAGTAATCCAAATATAACAATTATGTATCTCCGTGGTGATCCTGATCCTATCACTGCTTGTGCTTATAAAAAAATCGTTTAAAATCGTGTACGTGGCATTGAAAATCATAACTTAACAAAAATTGTACTAGAAAAGTGAAGAGTTAATGACTCGATATATTTAATTATCATTAATTTTGCTTTTCTCGATGTAACAGTAAATATCAAATAACGCTTGAGGCATTAAAGTTAGGGACAGATGTTTTGTGCTTACGTTTTTGTCATTTTCGCATTATTCTAATTCTTATTGGTTAAGATCAATATTGTAATATATGTAATGCTGTATAGATTATTTCCAGGAAGGAACTAACTAGTAACTAGAATTCATTCATTCTCTTTAATCGTGACTTTGAAACCCTTCATGTTATATCTACTTAGGTCTTAAAAGGAAGTTATTTAAACTACATAAGTCCTTATACAGCAGTAGTTCTTCTGGTTTTTTTTATTTCAATACCAGTAATTTCCTTATTATATTATTATTTTCAATCAAGGTTTTGTTACATCTGAGCCTCCGTATAGAGTTAACTAGCAGCTTCCAACAGTGGTTTTGCTCGTGTTTGCATTTGTTTTTAATCAATATCATTTAAAAATGATCCCCATTCTGTTTTTGAGTACAACAAAAGAGCTATATCTGTAGATCTCTAGATCAAGATAAGTTTTTAATTCAGACTATTAGCTACACAATAGAAAATATCATTGAATCCTCAACAAAAACTTGAAATGAATTTTTAACTAAGCCACCTTTTTTATTTTATTATATAAGTTCTCCTTTGAACATTATGCGCTATTATCTGGTCATACATAGGCACACAAACTGTTAACTTTGAAAGCTAAGTTCTATCTTATGCAGTTATTTGATTCAGTACAGAAGTATTAATTAAAATATTAATATACATATAATAAAATTGTAACTAAGCCGAATCTGAACATTAAATATTTTTTGGAAAGTCTTATTGAAATAGACATTATTATCGATACAGAGGCCGAATCTATAGTTTTTAGAATTTTCGTCTGTCTGTCTGTCTGTTACCGCTTCGCGGAAAAACCACTTGAGGGATTTTGATGAAATTTGGTATGATGGTAGCTGGTTATCCGGGTCAACATATAGGAAACTTTTTACTGCAGGAAAATATCTCATCTCTGAGAAATCTATACTAAACGTTAAAACGTAACTAAGGACGAACCCGATCGGAGCGAGGGTGAGTTGCTAGTTAAAATATAAATAAGGATGACTGATGATTACATGCTCTTCGTGGCACAGAAGTGAAACGCCATTAACAGAATATTACTTAGAATTTCTTGACAGAGATCAATCACTTTGCCCCAACACGGGACCCATCAAAACTTAATAAATATAATGTAATTACTATACATTTACGCAATTTATTAATTAATTTTTCAATCTTCCTCAAAAAAGGCAGAATATTACGCATCGCTCGCCATAGAGTGTGGTGCGGAACCATTGCCTGAAGTCCTCACGTCTATTTACAAAGTTTCCAGCCATAAGTTTCTACACGACATCGCAGGTTTCAGATCCGATGTGTATACAGCGATCGATGATAAGATTTTTGTATATTATCGTCCTGAAGTCTAAAATAAGGGCAGGTTTACATGTAACCTAACAATTGGGATACAAATCAAAATACAATATTATATTTAAAATTGTTCTAAATATAACATAGAAAATTTTATTAAGTATCGAATAAAATAATAATTAATAAGAACATTGGATATTGTTAATACGTTCTAAAAGTAGACGCAGTATAATTGATTTTGTAAAAATTAATTTTTAAAGCTTTTAAGTAGGTACCTTTCAATCGGATGTGTACTCATTGATCGATGATAGACTTTCGTATCTTTACGAGTAGTTTCTATGTTTTTAGATCGGAAAGTAAAGTACATTTTTTTTGTATATAGATGTTTTATTGCTTTTACTTCACTTCAGTCACTAATTTTGCTTCACGAACACTCGCAGTACTACACTCCACCAATTGCTGCATTATCAGTTCACTCAACTTTCATTCACTTTTTCGTGTTTCGTCTTTATCTCTTCTTAGTGCTGAAATTTAGCTGAATTTTCGACACACTGTCGCCGTCACCTGCATTCGTGATAGGACCTCACTACTTCTTGATTTTTAATGGCGAATGCTTCGAGCTATTTTCTAATATAGTCCATTATAACCAGGATATATCGATTGTCAGAGTTAGGAAATGGAAATAGTCCCGCCACGTCAAATCGATTCTCTTCCATGGTGCTTCAGCGTTGTTAGATTGAGTACCCTTGACGGATGCACACTGCATGCATTTTCGACACCAGTCTTCAACATCATCATGGCAGTGTAACCCGTAAACTTGTTCCTTGGTTTTGGTTAGCGTACTTTCGACCCAAGCTGGTCGTAGTTGCGCACCCGTTCAGATGAAATGTATGATGCAAACCTAAGTTTATTCTTCCTACTTCTAAATATTTACCGGAGGCTCATCCGGTAGGCTCGTAGAACTTCAGATAATTTCATTCTACGTACAACTAGTTGAAGATGGCTGGCATTTCCTGGAGTAGTTTCCCATTTCACCCCTCAGTTATAAATATGGAGTGCTACACATTTTTTTATTTTTGTAATTTGACTACTGAATCATCTAGCGATTGATATGAAACACCTACCATTAAAATTCCAGCAATGAAGTTCCAATAGTCTTCGAGTAAAAGAGCTATTAAATACGAACAGACATGACAAAAATATAAAAGTTCCATTTTAGCCTTTTGGTTATGGAACTTTAAAAATAGAACCTTGAAGGCTAGAAAGAATATTGTATAAAAAAAAGGTGGATGGTTGATAGTTTAGATGCTCTTCTAGATACGGGAATGTCACGCCATTACGTTATTTAGAATTTGTCTACAGAAACTTCAAATTTTTTTGCCTTTGAACGTGAACCTAACAACGATTTTTGTTACATTCGTGTTAAAGTATCATAATTATTTATTATACATAAATTAGTGATATACCCCTGCTTCGCTCGGATGCGTTCTTATGTGCCTTTTGTTAGAAATAATAACATACAGACAGCTCCACTTTTTAAGACATTTTATTACTAATATTACATTGTATTACTCCAATTCATAGACTATCTGTGCATTAAATTCTATCCAAATCCGTCCTGCCACTTAACCATGAAGAAGCAACAAACATATTTACCTACTGTATGGTATATTACCACTGCCATTGTAAATTTAACAAATTATTAATTAACTTTTTAATTTTCATCATAAAAGGCAGGATATTACGTATCGCTCGCCATAGAGAGTGGTGCGGAACCTTTGCCTGACGTCTTCACAACCGTTCACAATCATTCCAGCCAGAAGTTTTTAGACGACATCGCAGGTTTCAGATCGGATGTGTACACATTGATCGATGATAAGAACTTTGTATGTTATCGCCTTGAAGTCTAAAATAAAGGCAGATTTACATGTAACCTAAAAATTAGGAGACAAATCAAAATACAATATTATACTTTAAATTGTTCTAATTGTAACATTGAAAATTTTACAACACATAATTTTGCTTAGTATCGGATAAAATAATAATTAATAAGATGTTGACTATCACCATTCTTAAGAAGTCTAAAAGTAGACACAATAAAATTAATTTTGTGAAAATTAATTATTAAAGCTTTTAAGTAGATATCTAAAAAAAATATGATCTTATATATAGATATCGTATCGTCGTAAAATCGCATCAAGACTAAATACATAAATAATTGTACCTAGTACATATATCAGATTCATCCAATAATTAGTTATATTACCAGTGTATTGTTTTAATCTTAAGGTTTTTAAGTTGAAAATATATTGAGTAATTTATTAATAAATATCTCGAATAAATTTTCAATTTTGTAATATATAAATAAATATCGTTCGTGAACTTCTGATACCTCCTAACTAGCATTTTTGTGCAAAACTTTATTTTAATGCCATCATTTGGCAAAATCACATAAAACTACATTTAATTATGATATACTTAATAAAAAGACGTAAATAGCGAACGACTACTTATTTGTCTTACCAAAATTCTCCACGATTTTTTTTAATTAAGAAAGTACTTTATTTTATATTCTTCCTGTAAAATTTGTTTGTAAGATAAAAGATCTCAGAAGTTCACGGACGATATGTAGATAGAGTTAGAGATTTACATCTCTATTTAAAATGATTTTCACCTAATACTTTCTTAGATTTACGCGAATGTTTGACATTTTTAAATAAAACTATCTTTTCGGATTATTTCGCGGATTTATTTTGATTTTTGGTTCCCGACGTTTCGAATGCTTTACAGCATCCATGGTCACGGGAGAGACTGAGGTGTTACATGTCTTAAAGATATAGTTGTTACAGACAGCCTACCCACAATTAACAAAATGAAAATTGCACCAATTACATTACAATATTTTTAACTTTAAACATTTTTTATAATTTTAATTAATAATGGCTTGGGCGGTCCTGGCTATGTTTGCAGACAGCAGATGTTGTATT